CTCCTGCTCTCCTCAAAAAGTGAATGAAAAACGTCAGTGAATTGGATAACTGCAGCACAAACTGGGACCGAATCAGTCAATGAGTGGGTGGTTCTGGGGGGTGTATACTTGTGATGCAGTCCTGGTTGTCACATTGTGTTTCACCCAAACAGTTTTGATGTTAACCTAGCAACTGATAAACACTTTCTTGTTCACTATGTGCAGGCTAACTTGCAACTGTAATACAATGAATCAAGACATTATCTCAAAATCTAATGTGGTCTAGTGTTTTGATCGGTAGCAAAACGCTGTATCCACCGCTGCCTCAGAAACCAATGTGTCAAAACTCTCACAAGAAACACTTCACACTGGCTGAGCAGATTGCCTCGTATCAGATTTGGCATGGAAGATGGAGCAGCACTGTGTAACGAAGATCTGTCCTGTTGATAGAAACTTGATAGAAAGTTAGCTCAATCATGGAGAGAGCTTGTTTGACTTGCAATATCTCAGGACTTTGGGACCCTAAACAGCTCTTTGCAGAGAGAAGTGTGTCACAGGTGTAATTACAGCCTCAGAGAAATACATAGCAACCATCTGCACCAACGTGTCTCATATTAAAACTAGATGCCACAATGTCACATGCTATGTTCTGTGACACTAATTTAATAGTACCCTAACACACACGCAACATCTTCATTTTGCTTCAGTCTCTTGACTCTTAAATTGACTATTATCTCTATTACACATAACAGTACAGATATTTTATGATATTTCAATATAGTTCAACCTAAATTAGTGGAAATAATATATATTGTAAGTCAAACAGAAAACTCACTGTAGGCATATATAGATGATCAAGCTGATGACTGTGAAGATGACGGAGAGAGCAGACCCAATGTAGGTGATGTAGCTTAGGGTCACAGCATTAGTTTCATCCACTGTTAATACAGGGTTCTGGAAAAGATATATAAAATATATTTTAAGTTCAAATCTCTGTTGAAAGCCTTTTCGGTAGACTCTGTTAGTTGCTTTTGATTTGACTTAAGTCCTTTGGAAATTTAGATAGAAACCTGACTGACGTTTTTATAACCCAATGATGTACCCCAAGTGACAAAACTGTATCTTTTATTGGCTGTAGCTAGATAACTGGGCTAACAAGGCTCCACACAGGGTGGATACCACACAGTTTGGGTGAAATGTTCTAAATGTTTTAGCACAAACCCACGCTATAATTAGACAATTGCAGTTTAGGGGAGGCTGGTACTGAGAGGTAAATGTTCTGTAGAAAGATAATTTTACCACGAGAACAGCAAAGAAACTCATGTGGTTACAGCTGCAAACAAATTCCATTCCATTGTCATTGGTATCACAGCCTTCTGTGCTCCAGTGACCTTCAGACACACATAATAACGGATAAATGTGAGTTTATCTTTTGATTTAAGGGCAGAAATACTGTAGGCTGGTTCAGTGTATGAAGCCTACCTGTTCCATCCTCTTGCTCTGACTCCTGCCAAAACACACAAGTCCCAACAACCGCCTGCAACAGTCAAAAGCGTATTAAAAATGAGAAGAAAGTAGATTTTCCAAGTGTAACGTGAGCACAGCTGAGTTTGTCATTACCTGTTTATTGTGTGTGAAGGTTAATTTGATGGGTTGTGAGAGGTTTCTGACAGCATAGTTCCCTGCCCTCACTGCCAGGACTAAATCTCCCATAACAGTGCCTTGCATGTGGATAGGCTGGGCGGGTATGAACATTCTCCTTTTCCGAGGGGGACTCAGCTGCAAAGATACACAGAGGTGTCAGAGGGGACGCATTACATGAATGCTGGGGTGAGGTTAATGAGAGGTAAATCAACTTCCAAAATGTGTGCATATCTTAATAAATGAAGGAAGTCAAGTTAATCCTCCAAGAAATGTGGAGTCGCATCTGAATCTAGATACAATGATAGTACAGTATAATTCCAGTTTGTTCCATTGACTTATTTTATTAATTTGACTTTATATCATAACAAAAATGTAAGCATCACACACTTTAAGGTTAGATTAGATTAGATGATTGACAGAAAATTAACTGGCTACCAAGTGGTAACATTTGTATAAAAAATATGCATTTAATTTAATTTAACTTTAAACTTTATTCAGATCAATTTAAATAAGTTAAATAAGTTTGGAGAAATGCATCCATGACTGTTATATATTCAGTCAAGTTCAATTCACTGAATGGAATTGATAATTAACTTATTTTACCCAAGTTACCTTCTTGTACTCAAATCAAATACATTTCAAGCTTAAACGTTTGAGTTGATAAATGGTTTAAGGCAACCGGTTTCCTCAAACAGTTTAAGTTGAATTTACTCATTGGGTTTCACAGTGTAGAATAATTGCAACATTAGCTAGCTGATTTTCAAAGAACACAACAGCTGACTGTGAGCATACAGAGTTCATGGAATCAGCATTCAGAGTAAAGTGCTACCTTAAATGGTAAATGGACTGTGTTTATATAGCGCCCTTCTAGTCTTTCGACCACTCAATCAAGCAGGGATTAACTAAGGTCTCAAACTTTGTACCTTAGGAGCTACTGACCTTGAAGTGAGTGCTGTTGATCACAGCGGCCACCAGCAGTACCTCCTCATTGGACGCAGTTCCTCTGCTTTTTCGGAGAGCTGAGGATGGGATGTGAATCCTGTGATTAAAAGTGGGACTTGCTTCAGCCTAAAGAAACGGAACAATACATGCAACAAATGTATTGTTAGACCATAGGCTATACCAAGGAAAATGTTTAATATGATAACTAAAAAACTATTCACATAAAATGTAACTTGTTGAGGAGGATTTTAGTAGCTGTATTTTATATGCTCCAAGTTAAGGTTGTAATACCCAGAACTCAACTGTACACCAATTTATGTGATGAAGATGATGGTTTTCACCCGTTTTGCTCATTCGTCAGTGTATTTCATACAAAGCTTGAAAGCTTTAGAATGGCCTATTTTAATTTAGAATGGAAAATAACTGAGACAGACCCAAGTCACCACTGCTGAGTGTGTTGTGTTGTTGGATGGGAGATGTGAGAGTGACCACAAACCCCAGCATGATCAAAAATGTAGCAGTTTTTTGGAGCTCTATTAAGGGCTTTTAATCACTTGTATCTTTATTAGGATGCAGTTTTGACCGTAAAGGGAAATTTATCATAATTCTAATTCATAATTCTCTCATTCATAATTCTTTGAATAGAATTTTTAGTCACTAGGAGCAACTGTTTGTACTAGAAAGCTTTATGGATATGGCCTCAGATGAGACAAGACCTAGGAGTCAGTTACCCAAAATATGGCCTCACCTCTTGGGACGAGTTCACTCTCAGACGGACGAAGCCTGGAGTGAAGCGCCCTTTTTGTACACAGCTTCCAATTCTGTCCTCGTAACACCTGCCAATACAAATGTAGCATATTTCAGCATTTTTGCAACAAGTAGCATACAATATACAATTAAAACTCCTTTAATAGGCATTGTCTTTATGTCAACAAACAACACAAAAAGTTGTCTTTATGTTCTATGGAATAGCACTAAGGTGTGAAAACCTCTGACATTTTAATGAGATATAGATTGTCATCTATAGGTTGCCTAAGCTGTGCACCCATTTGACTGACATTTCAACACACTGTGGTATAAACAGATGCACAGTCACGTGCGTCATCTACTTCCTGATAAATGCTGGAACATTTCTACCACCAACTACACGGAAAATTAAAATGATTGATTTGCTTATTTTATTACAGGGCCTCACAATGATGTAAAAGCTATTATTCATTAGACAGTGGGGAACAACTACACTTATTCATTAATAACAGGGGAAAGATACATTAGCCTTAAAAAAGAGGCGTTAGCTTAGTATCCACAATATGATTTACCTGGTCCATGGGACATCACCTTTTAGACACTCATCGAGGACAAATTCACAGTTGTCTGTCAGAGGAAGTAAGACAGAAAGCAAAAGAGTCAAAGAAAGTACAGATGGACACTCTGGATACAAGACTGACAGCTGAATATACAACTGACAGCTCACTCCAGAGAAACATGAGAAGCAGGCTTATCTGTTGTAACTGTTACAACTTACTATGGGAAACTGTGGGTTTTAGTGTTGCAGAACTGGTTGGGTAAGAGTCCCTAACAACGGTTAGGAGAGGACCAGCGGTGCCTCTACTTTTCCCTTGGTTTGATGATCCACGACCTTGATACATCACCAGTTAAAAAGGTATTCAGCTCATAAGCACACAACAATAAACACTATAAACACATGAGAATAACTCACCACCAGCTTGGGTCTCTGCAAACCAGACGAGTGTGAGGAAAAAAAGAGTAATCCACATTGTGCCTCACCGTTCTTCAAACACACAGATGTTACAGTTCCATGCAAGAGATTTGCTTCATGAGGCATGCAGGGAGTTTCACATCGTCATATATTACATGGGGGTGGTGGTGGTGTGTGTGTGTGTGTGTGGGGGGGAACTCACATATACAGGAAGTGATTCATGTGTAATAGTATTTTAAGGTTTCTGTCCTTCTAAGCTGCTGAGGTTATTACAGAAAAGCTCTCTTTATCTGCTCATTACAGAGTAAGATTTCCTGTTGGGGTTGTATAGATTAGTAGATAAGTATAATTTGTTTATTTTAAACAGTTATCACTGAAAAAAAGAAGATAAAATCTCCACCACTAACTATGTTACTCTGGTTGTTCATAAAAAAATTACTAAATTTTCAACATAGACAGAATAGCCAGAAGAAAACAGGAAGTTACTATTTTTCAATAGACGCAAGCAAAAAGAAACAAGTCACAATGGTCCGCAAGTCAACTGACACAACTGGAAGCGAAACTCAGACCTGCAAAACTTTGTTTCCAATGTTGGCACAACACATAGGGAAATGAAAATGCAATTCACACTGGGACTAATTGTAAATTCTTCATATTTCAATAATTCAAAGCTTTACATATGATTTCAAGAACAAGTATGGTAAACCATTTGCAAATAGAAACAGGTGACCATTGTTCTATACTGATATATTAAGACTTTATTCAATAGCATATATACAGTATTCTACAGTAGGTTAGTGAAGGAAACAAGTTTACTTTAATGACAGAATTGACAACAATATTTATTAAAAGTTTACAGTTCTTGGAATATAACATCTCAGGGGTTACTGTTGCTATGGTTACATTAACGAGGGATTACTATCAAAGATTACATCTGGGCTTTATCATCTCATCCGGACTAATGGCAGGAAAGGGGGTCTAATCAGATTTGATACCTGAAGTCTTCACAGGAGTTGAAGTCATTCTGTCTTCCATGTCTTTCTTTCTCTGCTTCTTGGTTGACAGGCAGATCCAAAGGAAGATAAAGAAACCTTGAAAAGGGAGACACCATGAGTGTAGTTACAAGCTGGTAAATGAGAACCTGAACGGATTCAGCTGATGAACACAAACATGTCTATATAAACAAGTTAAAAACCTAAGAAGAGACAAACACTCAACAGACCTTGTGTAGAGTTCAGGATGCAGAAAAGGTAGAGGATAGGGTAGTTGACATATCCTGAGCCCAGGAAGGCAAGACCCCAGGTGGTCCCCATAAGGCAGGTAAGACCCAACACAGTGAGGCCACTCTTGCAGGACTCAGTGAACCTCTCTGGGTCTCTCCAAATCTTTCCCTCATCTCCAAGCGTTGGCTTGCTCCTGGTCACTCGTTTCATCTTACAGATGCTAGAGGCCACCACCATCAATATGCCAGAGTTGAAGATAAATATAAGGGTGAAGTACACCAAGTTCAAAGAGTAGAAGAAGGAGTCATCTGTGATCCAGCAGCTGTGGGACAGGCAGGACACCCAAAGGCTGTCAGAATATAGTTACACAACATTGCAGAAAATACATGATCTCTCGGTTTACAGGTTACATACAGGACAGTATATGTAAAGAACAGAAACACTATCTTAAATGTTTAAAGTTACAATCCATAAGATTTTATGGCCAGTATTAGCCATTCAATGTGTTTACATTCTGTATAGTAGTCTTTATTGTTGGTGGCAGAGTAGGCTATTCCATTGCAAGATTCAACTTGCCTCCACACACAAGTGACTTTTTTTTGGTTAAACCGCACAATTTTTTCATACACATTTTATACAAGATTATACTGATTAATATGTTTTGTATATAACCAGAAGGTCTTTATCATGTATATGTATGTATGTATGTATGTATGTATGTATGTATGTATGTATGTATGTATGTATGAGTCATATGCACAATAATCTTGTAAGTATATACATTGTAACATAAGTAAAAAAAAAATGCTGTGCTAAAGCTGTTTGAAAATGCCAAAACCACTTAGACAAATAAAGAAATGATGATCATATACAAAGTGTATATAAGTGTGTAAATTACACATTTTCTCATGCTCTGTGATTGTGATAGATCATATTGTGATTTATTTGATTTTATTAAGCTTTTTGGCTGAAAATTATATATTTTTTGGATTATTTACTTACATGACACTAGTTTGGTTAGTATCGGCCATGATCATTGGTGTAACTCCATAAAACTGTTTAAAGTCCTTCACTCCCAAAGAGACAGCCACAATTATACCAGGGATTCCTGAGGATCACACATGAACACACACACACACAAACACACGCACACAGTTTAACATCAATCTAATTAATGTATTCTGGAAGATGCATTAAAGAGATATTAATATATCATGCATGCGCAATTTGGCATCACATTAAGTTATTTCTAGTGACGCTACAACAGAGTTTGAAGACAGAAAACATTCATCCGAAACACTGGTGAGTCATCACCTTTTGGTCTCAATCAGTAGAACCAAAGCGTTTCTTTTGTTACCCTGCAACAATTAATTATATATAAAGAAAAGCACTACAGGAGATACACATGCTATCCAGACACAATAAGGGTGCCCCAGTCATCGTTTCCTCTATTAGTCTTACTGAAAACTTATGACATCAGTTTGACTTAGAACACGGGAAGTCCCACAAATGTGGGAAAATGCTAGACATCACACACCACATCAGCATGTTTCCAACAGTAGGTTTTGCAAAACTCACCCCATCCTGCAAGAGACAGTTTGAGCAGGTAGTGTTTGTAGTAGGTGTTAAACACCTTTATCAGCAGTAGATAGAGATGAAGTGCTTCTATGGCCATCCAGGTGAAACAGCAGAGCAAGGAGTAATGCATGAGAGCTGCAACAAACACACACACCCAGTCTGACTTCACCGTGGCCCCCCACTCGGTAAGCAAGAAGGTTGTATTGAGCAGCAACAAGGCAACACTGAGAGATACATGGATAGAGATGGAGTAATCCATTCTGTGGTTTCTGAGGAAGGAAAAGAAGAACAGCACATAGGGACATTTAACAAATACACAGGTACAGTCTATGGAGGACCAAAACTGAATTAATCAAAAATAAATAAAGTAATAAATAAATGACACAACGATTTGATTAGTAATAATTAATATATCATTGTCAAGTGCATCAAAAAAAAATATATAAATGTAGGCATTAATTAATCTATAAACTGTGACATAAATTAATATTCTTTTAATTTGATTTCTTTATGCATTTCTGCTTTATTATGCAAATTCTGTACCAGAACTGAAGCCTCCGATGACAGGTAATACAGTACCGAGGTGATTTTCTTGCCTGGTTTGGCAGGGTTGACCCCTCAGGTCTCTGGAGGTGGGTGCTCAGTAATGCCCGACCTCCCTCTCACTCCTGACCCGCCTCATGTCTCTCCTGTCACCGCCTGAACCGGTTGTGTCTTTGCTGTTCCTGAAGTCAGAGTCCTGTGTCGGAGCCGCAGTAAATCACCTTGGTACTGTATTCTCGGTCATCAATCTGGCCTCCATTGGTCTCTAAGGCCGTGTTCGGGGTGTGTTCACTGGGAAGCTACTGAGCCCAGTTTTATTACCTGATCGACATGGTGAAATATTGCCTCTGTGTGTATAGACAACACAGAGACTATCAGCAGTAGTAGTCCAGTATAATTGTGTTATCGTATTTGATGTCAGTGCCATTTCTTGGATGTTTCTTGGACACAAGCTGATAAAAAGCTGTCTGAGAGCTAGCTTCATAGAATGCATAGAATACATGTACACCTACCGACTGAAGACATATATCACAAGGGACAAAGCAGTGAAGAAGGCTGACAGGCCACAGCCTATGTAACTGATGTATGACAGTATTTCCCAGTGGACCTCTGAAATTGATTCTCTTATCTGCAGAAAAGATGAAATAATGCATCTATCTGCAGGTAATGTTTACCAACATCTAGAAAAAAAGTCATTTCTCATATAGAGTTATACCAGTTTTGTACCAGTGCTGAATAATCATTTGTTGTACTTTTTTTTTTCCTTCTTGTTTTAAAGGTGCCAAATGAATAAATACTCGACTAACTGGTTGATTTATCATCAGGAACAAGTCATTGTCTCCTTATCAATGTATCACCTTACCATTAGGACAGCAAATGGTGTTGTATGGTCACAGTTGCAAATAATGTCAGTTTGGCTACTATTGGTTCTGTTGTATGTCTCACATCCATCTGTTTTCCAGACATAATCTGAGGAATGTGGACATTGTAACTTAGTTTACTTAAATAGGCATAATTCAGCTGGTCATCTAAATAGCAAGACCAACATGCCATAAAGGCATACAAAAAATGACATTATATACATTTGATATACCCATATAAATATATAAAAACTGATATATGCCTACCATGTTCATCAAAGTAGCGACACTCTAACCATGAGTCATTCTGTGAAAATACAAAAATATATAGCTACAGTGAAGTTAACAGTGGTACATGCTTCCCATTTAAATACAAAAAACCCTGGTGGCACAAATCCAGTAAAATCTATTATTTTCACTCCCTTTTAAAGCTAAAGCTTGACAATTGTGTGATTAATTATAATAGTTCTGTGTGATTACACCACAAAAAGCACAATATATCCTGATTGAATAAATTTGGTTTGACACATACTAATTCTGGGAGATTGATGGACTGCTTAGCAGAAATTGTAGAGTGACCACTACTGAGGTACAACCAAGTTTAATAAACTAAGTACTAAAATACAAAAGCAACAACTATGAAAACAATATCTAAATGTCAAAAATGCCACTTCAACAATGCCTGCCATGTGTCATACATACGCCATCACCAAAATAGAGTCAAATCAAGTCCATCTTATTTATGTAGCCCACAATTTGCAAAAATCTACAGCATACCATAAGGCACTATCTATCCTCTGCAGTTGATAAATAGATTGAAAATAGACTTACGTCCATATCTGCGATTGTAAAGGTTTGGAAAATCATTGTGATGGGCGTTTTCAGATTATGAAGCCGTTTCTTCCCCAGTAGCTCTATCCTGATGACCATTGATGAGAAATGTTCTTGTTCAAACTAATGAGGAGAAAGTTTCAGCACAAAAATGATAAACAGAGGAATAACACAGTGTATATACAGTATATATGTAATGGCCGAAGAATCTGCAAACATTTATGACCATGGCTAAATGGACCAGTGTGTAAGATTTAGTGGCATCTAGTGGTGAAGTTGCAGATTGCAAATAACTAAACACAGCTTGTATCTGTAATTGACAACCTGGGAATACAACGTGAAGTGTGTAGGAGGAGGTGTTCTAAGGTAACAAAAACACTATACACTAATGAAAACAGAACTATTATATTCTATTTATGCCAAAAGATCCCCCCTAAACGTTACACACTGGACCTTTAAATTTAAATTACAGATTGAAACATGAGGGTGTCAATGCAAAAGTAAATAGGATAAATATATACTTGGAATTGGCTGTCCGACATGTAGGTGACCAGACCAATAATCCTCCCGTCCTTTGGGATGGTGCGCAGGTCAAACACTGGCAGCCAAATGTCGGGGACAAATGACTTGTTCTGAGGCAGCTAGGCATAAAAGTAGATGATGTCAAACTAGGGCAGAAAATTGACTGAGCACTGCCTAAAGTCATGTCAGCCTAACGTAACAAATACATTAACATATTCAGCATCATGCTATCTTAATCATCACTGTCCCTTCTAAATTCATCAGCACCATCTTCACCACAGCTTGTTTACCTGTGGAGCTTTTATCTGAATGGTGGAGTCATCTTCTGTGGAGTTTAGTTCAGCATCACTGAGGTTTACCACATTCAGAAACAAGGTTTTCAGGTAGTATTGTATGGAGTCTCCAGTTTCCAGTTGGGCTGTTCGCATGATGTTATGGATTATCTGCTTTTCCACTCTAAAGAAAGACAATGGGAATTAATGAATTTGGTTTAAATAAAAAAAACAGATAAACCAAAATTAACTTAAATCTTTGTCCACTGTATATATCCCTATGATTGTTGTCCCCTCAATTGCTTCTCATGTTACCTACAGTACATATTTTAGTATTTTGTTATTTCTATCAGTCACATTCTTTGTTGCCCTGACGTCGCAATTTATAAAAGTTAAATAAGTTTGGACATCACTTCTTCTCCTCGTATCTACCTCTAAGGGAGCTAAGACACCAGAGGGACACATGAGTGGGAGGCGAGGAGCCACATTAGCCAAATAGAAAGCAACCAGCATAGTACTGCTATGATGGCATTATCAATTAGCAGCCAGTATTCATATTTTCTAACTGTTTAGAAAATACTCTAAACGACAAAGTGGTCTTCTAACATCACTACTGACTCTGCTAAATATGTCATTATAATTTTTTCATCCACTGAGTACCTCAAGGGGGACAACAATCATGGGGATATATACAGAGGACAAACAGTCTGGACCAAAGTGGTTGACCAACTGACCATGCCGTTTGCATGGCTAAAAAATGGTAGTACAGCCAACAGACACTTACTTTATAAAGCTTCTTGTGACATTGTGGCTGCTACTGAAGAGCTGTGCACATGAATCCCTGATGTAGAAGAGTTGCATCATTTCCTTCTGATGAGAGGTGTCATTATACAGTAACTCAACCAGTGGTAAGATGGTCTCGTCCTCACATAAGTTGACAATGCAAATTTCATCTGAGTGGTGAGAGAGGAATTAGATTTAAGATGCAGACATATAATCACCCTGTTTCTGGAAACAAGAGCAGTTGTGGATGGATTAAGAATCAGTTTATTATCATCAGTGATAATAATGTGTTTCACTCTGTAGGGGACTGTAGTGCTCAGTTCTAGAGACCTGTATGTATAGAGTCGGCAGTCTTCTTGAGAGACAGTGTACTCACTTTGTTTTGTGATGTCCACAACCTCAGTGGGAAATTTTGTCACATTGATCTCTAAGCAAGATGATGATCCATTGAACCAACTGCTGAACGTGCACTGAAAGATGCAGGGTAAACCACTCGTCGAACAGTTCAAGTTACCATATTGGTCCTCAAAGATGTTTGCATAATCCAAGGTAGTGTTAATGCCACTGTTTGAAATGCTGACACAAACTGAACACAGAAACAGAAGACGAGAATCAAATACACCTCACTGTATCTAAATGTAAAACATTCTTTGAGAGAACACTTAAGGTCACAGCAATATTAATATAAACACAGATGGGTGATTTAAAAAGGATGTTAGCAAGAATGTTTTCTTATAATTCAATATACTTGCATTATGCAACAAGTTGCTTATTTTTTTGCAGTTAGATTGGAGTAATTCTTTTGATTTCATTTCCAGGTACACTGTTAAAATAAAGTTAAAGTAAAAATGCCTTGCAAAAAAGTAAATAAAAAAATGCATTACTCTTTCTTTGGTGAAGAAGAAAACCTAAAATAATCATCCAAACCTTTGTCAGCCAGCGACTCGAGGAGCAGCAGTGATAGGAGTAAGGGAACCATTGCACTTCCTCTGAATTTGTGACTGATAGAATAAATAAAAAATACAAAATAAATAAAGCTACATTTTAGTGCAGATACATTCAGTGTATCTCAACTGTAAGTTAATTTACATCCAAAAGAAATTCACTCAAAAGCCATATAATGACAAAGAGATGCTCATTATGCTCCTGAACATTGCCAAGTGTTTTGTGAGTAATAGAAATCAAATACTGACAAATATTAACTTCAGTCTGCAATGATGGAAAACAGGCACAAGCAGCAGGTCACCCCTTTTTCGAAGTATTGCACTTGATTTTCTTTTCTTGTCTTTTGAAAAATTAAAGAAAAATGTATTTTAACTCAGTACAGCAATGAGTCACTTAAGCTTTTCTTGTATGGTCTTTCTTTCTCTCTTCTTATTTGATTGCCCTTCCATGGACACAGTGGTCCAGTCCACTCCTAAATAACATAGGACAAATATGGGGTAAATCCACTACAGAAACAATCAGACATACTTGCTATGGCTTTTTAAGTTTTTACCATACTGATGGCCAAAGAGAAAAAAATCTTTTACACAGCTCCATCTAAAGGGGGAACTCAAGTCCACCACAACAAATCATTGTTAATCTATAATTTAATCTTTTTAAACTAATTAAAATGACCAACTTTTCAGGTAGATCAAATTCTTAAAAGTTAGTATACCGCAATAAAGGGAAAATAGTAAAAATAATACTTACATTGATTCTCACTGAACAGAGTAGTTTCTCTTCTTGCCTCTGAAGTGAACAGGATGAACTGCACTGGTGAGCTGTGCTGGTTGGATTATCTCATGTTTGAGAGTTTAAGGTAAAATACAATTGGTCTTGTGTCCGATCTGCTGGAAGTATCTGGTTTATGCAAATATTAATTTTTTTATCAGTACAACAAAATGACAGTGTGTGTTAGTTTCATGGTTATATGCGAAGAACTGATGTCACAGTCTACATTTCACTTCTGCAGTAAACCCGGTCTGTCAACACAGATGTGATATCGTGGACAATAACCCCATGGTTTGGATAGCCACTGAATGCTGTAAAGTTTCCTGCTGTGGATCACTACTCCCAAATGTTTGCCTTTCACTTTGCATGCTCTTCTCATGTTAGTGCTGTTGTGCACAGAATGTGTGAAGCAGAAGAATTGCTAGAGGACAGATGAACCCTTCACTACAAAGCCACAAACTTAGAAAAAAAGAATTACAACACTTAACCCATTTGTGCCCAGATTTCTTTCAGAGTTGTAAGGCATATCATTTTATCAGTCCCTCTGAATCATGTTATGCATTTATTTTTTCCATTTTGTACTTCCATTTAGCATTTTTATTGTTGCCAGTAGTCACACAGCTTGTCACTAGGTCAAATGTCACCTAATAATAATAGAGAAATAATAATAATAATATAGTAATAATAAAATAATAAGAAAGTCATATTAAATAATAACAAAAAGGTGGAGCCTCAGGTTCCCCCTGTATAAAATTCAAAACAACAAACAATTTGAACTGGTTTCTTTATTCTCAATTTTTTTATACTCAAAACGTCAACAAACTGTTTTTTCTTAGAACCTCTAAAAACATATATATATATATATAACATATTTCTTCCCATACATTCCATCATGTTATATATATGTGATGCGATCTGGGAAAACCCATCACATGGTGAAATTTTACCAACTTAAGATTCTGATACCACCTGCTTTCAAGCTCTTTTCAAATCTGTTTTCCTTTTTTTCATAGCATGTCTGTAACAAATGTTATTATTATCTGAAGTCAGCTTATTAACATGGTTTTATGAAACGGAATTTTGAGAAAAACAGGTTTAAAGATAGACATTCTAAATAGAACATTTTAACAATCAAATATCACATGTTAAATTTTCATTACTCTATTATGGCACAGACTTATTTCAGTCACTGTATATGTTGGAAAAGATACAAAATTGTTACTTTGGCACCAAGCAAACACACAACACTCATGAATTAGATGAAAATCAATGTATTTATTCATTCATTATTCAAACGTAACTACAGAAACCACACGCTGATTTGCTGCTGCAACTGCCACACAGTAATCGGAGTACACCTTCACCTTCGCACAGTTAGTTGGAAGAAGTTTCAAATCACTCCTCCAAAAGCCTGGTACCCTCCCTGGAAGATGCATGCCATGAGTTTCAGCATAGTTTACAATGAAATGTGCAACATACATATTGTCCTCTTTCTTCAGTGCATTAGGAGGCTGACGCTTTTTGTTGCCATGCATTCGAGGAGTAACACCATGCTCTTTATAATGCTTAATAAGAGCATCTAGCTTGACCTGGCCAATGGCATGGAGATATTTAAACGTATCCCTGCATATTTTCTCCCCATGGTGAAAGAAATCAGTTCTTTGGGACTTCCGAACTGTCTGTTCTTTTTTATGGGTGCGGGATGTTAGCTGAGAAAGATGCATTCCACACGAGAGTTTAGCTAGAATGGCAATATCTAGCTCTTCCCTTGTCATTTCCAGGAAACAGTAGCAAATCATCTGCAGCTCCTCTTGCATGAAACGTGTTGAACATGGATGACCATTGTTGTATTTGCATGCACATACAAACTCTTGCACATCATCACCATTATCTTCTTGAAGTGGAACTGGTGCTAGTATCTCTGCTACATCTTCAATAATGGATATGGGATGGTCATCATCTGAAATGAGGAAGAATTAATAACTGTAAGACATATGTATTATATAAAAAAGGCTGAACTACATTATTACTAATAATCAACATTAACAATCCATCACACAAGTATTTCACCATTGCAATATGTCTATGCCCATAAGACATAGGCTACTACTATAGTAGTACTACTATTATTACTCAAAATCATCATCATCATCATCATCATCATCATGATTAGATTATGTTGTTTGACAAGGTGCGACCAAAACATTAACAATATGTTAAGGTGTAGCCTACTATTAAAAAAAATTAACATGTTACGTGCAGGCTTGTACATCACGCTGACAAGAAGCAATCGGATCTGGCTCAATCCAACATCTCTCTCCCAAAGTAGGATTTATATGTCTTACGTTTAAATTGCAAAATATGTCACAGACTGAAGAAACCATCTTCACCATCTGTAATGCAATCTACTACAGCCTTAAATGTCACTAGCATGGAGCAATCATGAACAGGGGCGGACTGGGACAATAATTCAGGCCACCACCACCGGATTAACGCAAAACACCAAGAGTGAGTTAGGTTTGGCGCCTACTGATGTAAGAGTGTAAAATAATAGAGCAAAGGCTCCACATGTGCCCACACACAGCTTTTTCTGTTTCTTTCCCCAACAAAATAAATGTTTCTGTTCACTAATTGACAATTTTTACATGCATTGGCTATGTTCATATAACAACAAATATGTTCTTAATCTCAGTGGGATTTTACCTGGTTAAATAAAGGTTAAATGAAATAATGTAATACAAGGATTTCAATATTAATATAATTTATTATGTTGTGCCTATGTTAGTTAACCATATTCTAAAATTTGCACTTACATTTGTTTTATTAAGTCAGTTTTAGCCCATCAGCTTCCACAAAGTGGAACTAACCTCCTCATTAAGATAGTGGTGCTGGATAGGCCATAGTTATTGCTCAGTTATTTTACAGCACTTCGCTGATCTGTGGTCAGTGCTTTTAGTTTTTTAAGCCTCTCTCTCTCTGCTCCACCTTTCCTCTTGGGCTGTCGATCTCACTCCATTTTTCAAGCATGTAGAACTACAGGTGGGGGGAGGCGCAACTTGGTGTGTCTGTTTGCAGTGCTGTGACAGAGAGGAGGGGGTGTGTTTGTGTCCAACATTACTGCTCAGTCTGTGTGAGCTTCAGTGAGGCAGATACCCTAATGAGGGTCACTGATCATGAACTTCACCGAGTCTATTAACCTGACGTTAATGCTACAGTCTGCATCTCGAACATTCACATTAACGTTAAGTCTCCGTTTTAAACTCACATGAACTTGCATGCATAAACAGCCATAGTTTGTGGCTTTAATTTGAAGTTTTAAGCCTTCGTGTCGCCGTTCAAAAGAAATGTATAACGGGAAAATGGTAATGGATAAAGTTACTCTGAACGAACGAGATATTCCAGGGAACTTTCTAGCCTGTCAGGAACAGCACTAGGCTAACCTACATCACGGTTATCATTACACAAGGAGATAAGTTACCTGAGGGGGATGGCATTTTAAAATTTAGTAAATTGTTGTTGTTTCATTGTTGTTTTATTACTGGTGCGGTCTCTGGATGTTTTAATCGTAACGTTATCCTTGTAGGTTTTCATAACAAGTCTTACACATTGGTCATTTAAAATAGCAAGTGCACCTTGTATCTTACATCAAGAATAGCATGGCTAGCTTACCTTCATTGGACTCCTCTTCTTCGGTAAATTCATTATAATCCGATCCTTCATCATCTCTTGGATCTCTGGATGTGAAATAATCCATGATCACGTCGCTCAGGGCATTGGCATCGCCAGGATTTACCAAATTGAGACGTGCAGCATCATTTAAGTGAGCAGCTACCTCAGACTCTCTTCTCTTGAGCTCCGCCATCTCCGTAGACTCTCACATCCTCACGTAACGTTAACGTTAGGTTCATCAAACATATCACATTGTTACAACGTATATCTGGCGGGAAAATGTGCATTGATATGATATGACTTCATTCATGTGGTTTAGGGCTTTGATTGGTGAACCGTCTATGTAGTGTTTATAGCCTAGACAAAGCACGTTATGGGAGATTTTAATGCACCTCCGCCGTTCGCGGTTTCAAATGTAGGATCATCTTTCAGACAGCTTGGCCAATATAAATTCATTTTTAATGTATAAAACTAGCGAATTTCACTTAGATATTTTCAGGAATTATAGACAAGATGTTATATAATAATAATTTAATGAAAACCCAATTTTGCCAAATAAATGACAATCGACCTATTTTTACTATTTCCTGGAAACGTGCCAGCGCGACATCCGACGGGTTTTCCCAGATCGCATCACACATATATATATATATATATATATATATATATATATATATATATATAACATATTTCTTCCCATACATTCCATCATCTTTCATGCATGTTCTACTCAGTGTGGTCCTTCTTGAAGCACTCCACATGTAGTGGCACATCACACTTTCCACACGCAAATGATGTGCGTCCGCCACAGTTCTTGCATCGCTTGTACCTGCTACCAGTGTTGCAGGGCCAGTGGTTGAAACTATCAAACCTGGTGGCATCAGTTATTGCCACCGCCATTGAAGATCTTCTGCCCTGCCTACTTGGCTTTGTTCCATGGCGCAGGAGGAGGGTCTGGGCTACCAGCCTCTGGAAGGAGAGGAGATCCTTCTGCCCGCTTTTCCAGGACCTAAATGAATGACAAAACAAGCATGATAGATGCATGAATGTGCCATGTTTATGTTTGCATATGATGCTATTGATGAATCATCAATATCATCCTTTCTACAGCGTCATGCCCCATATGTATAATGTATAATCATCACTGTTGCTCTTGTCGACCGAAGAGCACTAGCGATGACCTTGAGTCAAACATCACAAACTCGATTGTGATATCGCTAAATAACATACAGCCTTGTGTACCTGTAATAGCACCAGCTGTTCACCAGGGCACTGTTCAGGGCCCAGTTGAAGCATGGCCACCACCACTTCTTGGACCGGATGTTGACTCTGTTGCGGCTGACAAACTGGTCATGCAGGTCCACTCCTCCCATGTGTGTGTTGTAGTCCTGGATACACTTGGGCTGTCTGACCTTGTCCATGGTCCGCTTCTGTTTGTTCCATCTCTTCGCCTCAGTTTCGGTGAACTCCCTCTCCATGTTCGACACCACAGTGACCACGCTGTTGTCAGTCCACCTTACAATCAGCTTCTCTACCTCAACCAGATACTCAGCATCTCCTCTGGGTGTCTTCTTGAAGGTCTTGGGTGCTGTGAAGGGAACGTTATGGAGCTGAGTTTGTCGCATTGTGCCACAGCTGCCATCGCCTCTCAGGGTCATCTCATCCACCAGGGACAGGGTTGTGAAGAGGTTGCCATGGTAAAACTTGAAAGCTGAAGGTGGCACTTCAGCTTTCTCTGCCAGGCCAAGGATCACACTTGGACCCTGACCAAGTCCAGTTTCCACCAGATGTGTGTGGCTTCCTACATATGGCTCCATCTGATGGACAAACCCGGAGGAGGATGCTAAGCTCCATATTTTATACCCAAAACGAATAGGCTTCCCTCTAATAAACTGTTTGCACCATGCCTTCCAAAATACTCAATCATCATCTCATCTACTGCCACATGTTCTGCTATCGGGATTGTTTTGTTGATGTCATCCATATGCTTAAAAAGGGGACGCACCTTGAAGAATGGGTCAGCTGTCATCTTCATGTTGTCTACTAAATGAACAGAAGACATAATCTCATCAAACCTGTTCCTCCGCATGGCATCTTTTACAGCAGTGTTGCTGACATCATAATCGTCTGACCAGAGAAGACGCCGCCTTGGGACTGAATTGTATCCACTGATCAACAGAATACCATAGAATGTCAGAAGTTCATCCTCAGTCAGGTTGAGTGTTTTCCCTTTTTGTTCGGCGTAGAGATTAGACATTTCCAGTGTGGCATCTCTGAGGGACTTGGGATAGAATGTGAGGAAGATATCCACTGGATCATCTGATGTGAAGACAGGATCATGTTCTTTGGGGACATAGCGAGGGATCTGATATTTTTTGTTGGCCTGTGCTGGTGCTTTGGCCGCAATCTTGATTTTTTTGAATTTCCTGTCTTGGTTCTTAGTTTTGTGGAGCATGGGCCCAACGATCTGACTGGTCACCATTTCATTTGTGCCACTGACCTTTCTAGTCTCTGTCTGACTCACTGAGGATGAGCACCCAGGATCATCATCGGGGGGATTTGGCAGTTGCATGTCTGAATTTGGTAGAAAGCCTTCACCTTTTAGTAATCTCGATGGGAGGCGGTTATGGTCACCAGTGGCCTCATCATCAGATTGGTCACTGTCACAGTCTGTGTCATGTGCATGCATTTCTGACTCAGGCACAACAGTGATGTCCGCCACAGTTTCAGAGTCCTGCAGCATGGCCAGGACCTCTGCTACGGTGTACCTAAGGAAAGGACAACATACATGATTGATTTTTATTTTGACCTATGTTATTTTATGAAAAATGCTTACATACATAGCATACCAGAGGGAAAAAGGGGATTTGTGTGTGTGTGTGTGTGGGGGGGGGAATAAGTCCATGAACAAATATTTATCCTAGGTACAATTTTTGGGGGGAGGGTTACTCTAGAGACTTGAATGATTAAATAATTATAAATATGTTTGCGGGGAAAATCATAGGAAATTAATGAAAATTACCTCTTTCCAGGAAGATTTGCAACCGCCATGTCTTCAGCCGGAAGGAGCAGGAAGCAGATGATGTCATGCGATAGGAAGCACTTGGAAACGATTTTTTAAAAATCAAAACCTTTGTCTATGTTGTCTACTTGCATATAAGTGGAAAAAGTTGCATTAGTACCTTTGAGATTTTTTATTGTGAGTCGAAAATGACAGTGATGGCCAGTGGGGCAAAAATGGTTAATAGTACAGTCACATACATGAGTTTGCTACATTGTTGTACATGAAAACATAGTAACCTAAGCAGAAATAATAAATGGCAAATTTACAGAATTTCAGTATGAATCCCCTTAACACACACATAAACACACAAACAAACACACAAAAGAAAAATGTCCTGGTGTGTTGAGTTCAGGTTGAGCTGTTGGTGGTACGTGATTCACTGCTTGTATTAGTAGTTGAGTTTTCAATCTTTCTCAGAGACATCACAAACCACAGGAAGATGAAGAAACCTGGTTCAAAAGAGATAAAGAGATAAGAACATTTTTAGAGAGAGTACAGGAAGAGAGGATCATGCAAATGACACAGATAAGCAATCTGACTGTGTGTGTGTTTAAATACATTATATTGTTTGGATTAGACCTGATATGTTCAGCTTTCAGTAGTCATGGACACACTATTGAGCCACATCCTGTGTTCCATTTATGTCAGTGTCAAACCAAGAATCAAGATCAACTTTGCATCTACATAATCAACAGCTGTCACTTCAGTATGCAGCCAATGGCCATGTAGTACTCCTGCACATTTATATACAGCATTTACATATACATTTGCCTATATAAGCCTTTCTGTCATATTTAAAATAACACCCCCATGGGATAGAGCTAAACATGTGGAAGGAGGTTGAGCAGACCTTGAAGTGAGTTCAGGATGCAGAAGAGGTAGAGGCCAGCAGTGGCCAGATAGCCAAATGAGAAGAAGACCAGGCCCCACGTAATGCCGAGCAGAGTGATGACTCCCAGCAGGGTACAGATGTCTCGTTTGGCTCTGTCATGGTCACGCTGCCCAAACTGACATGAAAAATGTTGTGTAAAATGACACATTAGCAGGACATACACAACCAGAAACAAGAAATTTAAATGCTGAACACCAAACCTGCTTTTGAGCACACTATCCTAGACTCTCAGGAGTCATAAAGTCATCACCATATTGAAGGCTTTTATATTAGAGACTAGTTCACTTGAACAGTCTATATGTGTAAGGGAGACAACTATGATATGAATGACACCATATTAAACAAATATCAGAAAAGATTAAAGATTAAGGAAGACCGGGGATATTGAACAAATTCAATGAAAAGATCAAAACAAACAATGTGTTAGTCAGTCTATTACTGTGATACTTTCCAATGTCCCTACCATCTGTGGCACTCAGCCCCAAGTCTATTGGTTCCTACTGAAGACATAAATGTTGACAAATAGGTCAAAAATATATGGTTTAATTTTAAAATCCCTGGAACACTTGGCCACTTTAGTTGTTAGCTAGCGTTACTCAAACAGGAGTAAATAGTTTATTTGTCAGGAACTACTTTCAGCCATGGATTAGAACAGATTTGGTGCTGGAGTGAGTACAGCAGCAGAAGGGGTGGGCAATATGAACATTTTTTTGAAGTAATTTTTTGGGCCTTTGTATGACTTTATTGGATAGTGACAGCTGAAGATTGACAGGAAAGGGGGGTAGAGAGAGGGGATGGCACGCAGCAGGGGGCCGCAGGTCTGATTCGAACCTAGACCACCGCTGCAACTCTGTATATGTATCTGTATATATATACCAGCTCTACCGACTGAGCTAACCGGGCACCCAATATGAACATTTTAGATCAAGATTTTGATCTAAGTTGTCCACAATCTACTCTTCAGGAAAGTTGTAGAGATTGTGGTATTTAATGTTCTCTTTCTTCTGTCTCAAGACTGCACAGAACCTCATTGGCTAGTGGATCTGCGCTATATGAAGAAATCAGTAGAGTGATGTCGCCAGCTAGATAGCAATCGGATTGGACAAATGACTTAACGTTGATTTTCCTTGGGTTACAAACTGTAAACAATGCAAGTGAGTTGTGAGTATTATTTTATGATTATGTTAAATTTTCACCTCTTTTTACAACTTTAAACTCATATTTTAATCTCCATTTCGAAGTGTGCAGTATTTTTAATACCATATTGTGTTTAATGGTGGACATAAGAATTAATAGGTAGGCTATTTCAAGTCTTGCTATAATCTCTTTTGAGAAAAAAAAGATCAAGTACAGTGCAGGTGTTCATGATAATGAAGGAACATGCCACCCAGTTCAACACTGGGGCTGCATTATTTGTTTTTAATGGTCTTAGACAACAGTGTACCTCTATGACACACAGGAATAAATTATATCAGGCTTTTAATACACAGGAGACAGTATTTAAATGATCAATTCATTGTTCATTCATTCTTTTGGTGTTTCCATGGGATATGCTGAAAGCAAGAAACATATTGAATATTACCAGAATTTTCCTTTAAAGATCCTTTTTAAAGATAATAAGAGTGTTCGCACCTCTTTGCTCTGGCGGAGACTCACAACGCGCCTGACTGTCACCCCTAGCATGACAATGTTAAAGATGAACACGAGGCAGAACATTCCCACGGTAGTCACCATCTTCACTATGTCATTGTTTATATAACATCTACAAAGAGAGAAAGTACACATAAGAATATAATGTCACAATGCAAAATCAAATATGAATTCTGCAATAGAAATGTCATTACAGGTGCCTAATAATTCTGCTTTATGTAAATGTTCTGCCCATGAAATGGAATATATCAGTAAATCCTAGCTATTGCTTCCTATAATTTATAGTAACTGTTGTTACTATGAACAGGGGTTGTGGACATATTCCAAAAACATTCAAATACACAGAGACCCTAATGCACATGCAAAACAGTTGATAAATATAAGTTAATCATTACTCTACATTGTACATGCTTGTAAATTTGTTCCTGCTCCTCCCTTACATTAGACTTTCGGAGTCAGTCAGAGGGACATGTCCATAGGAGTCTTTGTCTATGATGATCACAAGGGATACGATGACTGCAGGGATACCTGAAACACAAGGATTCAGCATGGGATTGATCCTTTCACTTTTTACAGGGTTGAATCCCCCCAAAACTTGTTCGACCGATGCTGACAACTTGCAGGCCTTTCCAACAGTACTCACCCCATCCCACCATGCTGAGTTTTAGCAAGTATCTTCTGATATAGATGTTGAAGACTCTGACCAAAAGAAGATAGAGGTGAAATCCCTCCAGGGCCATCCAGATCAAAGTGGCTAGCAGAGAGTAGTGAATAGCAACAGCTATATAAAAGCAAAGCCCACTGGAGGGCAGTGCTGCCACCGCCTGACTGGGGAGGAAGTGCACGTTGAGGAGGATCAGGGCAATGGCGAGGTTGATGTGGACCTTCATAGAGACATCTGCCCTGACTTTTCTGTCAGACAGAGGAGAACTGATCTGTGGTAAGTCTTACATTATGTGCAGATTTCATGGCTGGATCAAGGTGGTTGTGGAAAGGTTATATAAAGTGGAGGAAGAAAGGAAGAAATAATGGCATTTACTGTGAGAAGTGGGACAAAATGTTATTGGAAGGAAGGGAGAGCATATTGCATTTTAAAGTAATAGAATTGCAATATGCAAAAGAAATATTAGACAACAAAAGACCTTACAAAAACATGGCAAGAAAAAGTCAAACAAGAGAGGATGAAGAGAGATGAGGAGCTGAAGAAGTGACGGGAGCAAGGACAGAAAGCTGTTCCTGGAAATATGTGAGAGGGGAGGATAGATTGAAGGTAAGGAGGGATGAAGGACAACAAATGAGTTGATGAGAGGAGAGTCGTCGACTGGGGAAGAATAAATTACCTCTTTGTGATGAAGAGTATAACAGTGATGACCAGGGTAAAAAGAGAAAGACTACAACCAATCATAGTAATGTATGAAAGAATATTTTGGTCTTCAGGTGAGAGGGAAGCAGACACCTGTGGAGAAAGTACAAGTAATTACATTCTACAGGCAAATGTTGTCTTTTTACTTCATTCCATTTATTTCATAGATATAGTTTCTGGGGAAGCAGACTGATAATACAAATAATACTGCTAATAATGCTGTAGTTATTTAGGATATTGCAATCAGTGGTTGATGGTGGGGGAAGTCATGGTAAAGGTTTATCAACTATATATATTGGTTGTTATATGTACACCAATTCCTAAAGATTTTATGCATAATGGATTCATGGTGAGTGAGTTTTCACTATTTTGCTGTATGTATTTTGTGGATGATCATCTACTCACACTAATATTTTGCAGTTTATATTCATTTAGCAGGCCTTTTTTTATGGAATACGCTTTAAAAGTTATTTCCCCACAGGGATTATTAAAGCATTTCTGATTCTGATTCTGATTTATCATGCCACAGTAGGAAAAGCACAGGTGCAAATAATAAAATGAGCGATGGCTGAATTCCATTCAGCTGCTTCTGTTTTAGGGTCTGGCTACTGTTGATGCTGGTTCACTCTTACACTGTCATGGCCTACTGGGACACTTTAATAGACATGGGTTGACAAGAGGGGCATGGTGACTTTAAATGGTGGCAGAAATACATGCTGATTTAATTAAAAACAATCACATAGATCAATATTTGCTTGTAAAAGCCCCCGAATGGAGATATTTGAACTTAGAAACATTATTGTGGAACATTAGTAAGGCACTGAATAGAAATATCTAATGGTGGCAAACTGTTTTATTTCCAAATCATGAGACATTTTCCTAAATAAATGCTGTTTTTCATTGAACTTAAACCTATCATTTGTCTTAAATGTGACAATAGCAGATCATTAAATTATATGTGATAATTTATGTTTTTAACGTTATTTTTAAAATGAATCTAAATCGATTTGTTACCACCAAACTGGATCTTATCAGTAACACCTGTGCTTTTCTTGTGTCTGCAGTGAAAAACGCCTACTGCAGAGTATTTGTACTGTACGTTAGGGCTGTGTATTGGCAAGAATTTGGCAATCCATGTACTAAGGCTGAAGTCCTTACACCAGCAGCCCAGGTTTGATTCCAACCTGTGGCCCTTTTCTGCATATCTGTATCCCGTCCTCTTTAACAAGCTTTGCAGTCAAAAAAAGGCATAAAAAGTCTGAAAAAGTTAACTTTTTCAAGCAGTTTTAGTTTAGGTTTACAACACAATCTTGGGGTTGGGGGTTTGTTTTTTGATATTTTCTCACACCCTACTGTATGTTATGATATATATAGCATTTTTTCATTTGATTTCTTTTTATGGATTGCTACCATAAATCAATCATCACACATTAAATGAAAAGCATTTCAGATGCTCATCTTCTAAATGTGCAGTCTCAATAAACTGATCATTTTGTTGTGATTGTCTGTCTGTGGTTAAAAAGGCCAAGCCTACCATGAGCACGCCAAAGTATGTGAGGTGGTCACAAGAGCAGGTGACGTGATTCTGGAAAGGTTTCCACCGGGTTATGCAGCCGTCATTGCTAAATTCTGGTAAGTCAAACAAACAATCATAATACCAATGATTCTATCACATTTGAATTACAGCAACTCTGTTGGTCAAGTGAGAAAACACAATGAATCCATTGTATCATCTTCATCACAAAGTACATATTGTTATTATCATTCATGACAGTTGTGCTTGGTTACTCACTCTTTGTTGAAAAATTAAAGAAAACACAGCTGGGTTTTCGGGTCTCCTGTGAAACAACAACAAACCAGGTTTACATTAGGTTTATACTGTATGTATTTATGATTTTAACTTACTTTTGTTATACAATTTTACAAGGAAGTTAAAGGTCCAGTGTGTAACATTTAGGAGGATCTATTAGCAGAAATGGAATATAATATTCATAGGGTATGTTTTCATTAGTGTATAATCACCTGAAAATAACATTTGTTTCCTTAGAATAAGCCGGTGTAGTTTCTTCTGTTCACTTGGAACAGGAAGGTGAGACGAGAGTGCTGCAATCAGCAACACCACCACTAGATGCCACTAAATCCCACACACTGGACCTTTAGGGTTATGGTAAATGATATATGGAAGGAAGTTGTAATTACATTTACGCTCATAGTGAGATTCATTGTGATGTTGACATGTTCCTGTAGTCCAGAAATTTTCTTGCCCCGCACACTCAGGCCAACCAGTCTGCTCTCATATATTGGCTCAGATGATCCCCATATCGTCTACAGTACAACATAGAATCAATTAGTTTGACAATTTGTCAGTATAGAATATAATCACTGATGTACCTTTAGTAAAAAGCAAAAAGCCATAATTGTAACCTTCTGTCCTTTCTAGAGACTTCTCTAAACTTGTATGCAAAGAGCAACATACTATACATCTGGTGCTGCATTAGGGGATGTTATATTTAGTCAGAGATTAACAGCTTGTCCTCTTTTGTGAAAGATTTCTGCCTAGCTGATTGTTGAGACCTTTACTTCTTGACAGTGAGGCACTAAGAAAACTTCCTACAATTGATGTGTCAGATCACTACAGTCACATCACTTTTACCTATTATATTCAAGAGTGGTCTCTTTGTATGCCACATTATCTAAATTTGACCAGATAATAAAGACATTTTTAAAAACTCAACAAAGAGCAAATGTTGCCATAAATGAAATGTATAGTTGTTTTTAGCTAAGTAATGTTTTAATACGACAATGCTGGTCATATATCAGCATTTTGAAATGAATTTACCTATGCCCTATTTATATCACTTAACCTGACACCATTTGTCCTCCTGTGGTTAAAATGAGTAGAAAGTAATCAGTTGGAGAACAAAACCATGTGGTCATTCCAACATGAGCTTAAATATATTAACCCATTTAGAAAGAATGATCACATGCCAGGTATGAAGGCAGATTTGCTACATTTAACTGTTCCTCTTTTTATGAACCCAGCCCAAACCTTGTTCACTGAGGCACAACCATTGTATTTACAAAATCATGCAGTCGGTAGAGAGTAGAAAGAAGCTCATACTGGCAATAAAATTATTTCTATAGAGTGGATTTTACCCTTAACCACAAAAGACAATAAATGTGAATTTAAAGTTAATTTAAAAAACTGCAACTATTTGGTTCATTTAAAAAAATGTTTAAACATATTTACACAACACAGTAAAGGACCACTCTGCTTTCAGAACTGCTCCAGCTCGTAACTCAAATAACATGATGCCATTAAAGTTTTACTGTCAAAAGACACTGTGGGCACCCACACCTTACAACAACAAACATTTCGGGTAAGGCCTTGATTTTCATATAGAAATAAATACACTGCTTACGTAAATAGTTTAAACAGGGAGTTTGAAATCGGATTGCTTAAACTGTGTTGTATTGCTGGGCACTGTATATAGTATATAACTGTGAGCTGTATTCTGGTGTTCAGGGGATATCTGAAACACTTTGAATGGGAAGCAAGATGGCAATACAGGCTCAGAAGATATACAGATGCAGCAACACAGAATCTTATCTGAATGGAATGAATAGATATATCCCTCTGGCAGCCAGCGTGGATATCTCTGTAATCAAGTTAATGGATAAAATGATTTTATAACCGATCAAAGTCATAACCAATGGAAAGAACTGAACAAAAACTGGGCTAAAACCCACAAGAGTGGTCCTTTAATTTGAATGTACAATGTAAGTACTATGCAAAATAAATATAGTAGATTCTTTTCTACAAGATTGAACATGAAAAAGTGTAATCTCTGACCCCGTTTGTTTCAGGCCAGGTAAGCATGCAGAACACAATCTTGTTGTCTGATCCAGCTTTCAGCTCTCTCGGCAGTTGAACCCTCACTTTGCTGTTGGTGACAGCCTTGTCTAAATTTGCCTATATCAGAGACACAGAGTCAAAAATAGCAATGGAAACATGCCATGCAAATACCTGCAATAACAATGATATTCACCAATGCAACTCTGACAGCTACTGAAGAATAATAATGGCATCCTTTTGAGTGGGTTTCTGTTGAATTAAGACATATTGGGGGGTGGCTTTGGCTGAGGAGGTAGAGTGGGTATCCACTAACCGGAAGGTTGGTGGCTCGATCCCCAACTCCCGATGCTGCACATGAAAGTGTTCTTGAGCAAGATACTAAACCCCAAATTGCTCCTGATTGCTGGGCATCGGTGTGTGAATGAATGGGTTAGTTTCTGTTTGTGATGAGTGTTTTCCATATTCAACACCATGGAAAAGATTACAATTGAAGATTTTTTTAAAAGTAGCATTGCCCTGTCAGCCTACATTTTAATACAAACTGATCATAGGTTTGCAGGATGTATAAACACAGAAATGTATGTATTTCTTGCAGGCCCATTCAGACTGTACAAAGAAGTACGTTGAGCTAAATGCTATTGCCGGCATGCAAACATGCTAATTTTTTTTTACCTTTATCATGCTCTCCTTTACCTTTAGCACTAACACAAAGTACAGCTGTTGTGAATGTGTTTTGCAGGTATCTGCAGGACTAATTGACATTTTGAACTGATGGTGGTGCTAGAGGAAAAGTAAGGGGATAGCCAAACCTATTACAATTTATTTTTGGGAACATGAATATATGTAGCAGTTGTTGAGACATTTCACTCAAAATAAAATGCCAGCCTCATGATGTGACTAGAGAAATAGTCAGGAGATGGTTAAAGTCATTTGGATACATTGTCTGGGAAGCATGAATATCTGTAGCAAATGTCAAAGCAATCCACTGAGCAGTTAATCATATATGTCATAATTTTAACAAAATTGGAGACTAAGAATGTGTGTACAATAATAATAATAATAAAATAGATAAGTATAATAACCAAATAAATGAGTAAAATGATTATTATAGAGATATTAGCAATGCTGCTTATATTACTAAAAATCTTTATTAAAAAGTTAAAAATGACATTGTGATTTTGACTTTATATCAGTCTCCAGTTCAGATTAAATATATCCTTACCTCATTCTCACTGGCGTAAAAGTCAAGGCCTCGGAAAGGGCCTTTGGGTTTGTGCAAGACAGCCAACAAGTGGTTGACTGACATGTACGTAGTCTCATTGAAATCTGCTTCCTCTAGAGTTTGTTCTAGGTTCTGCATGGCTCTTGTGGAGAAGGACAAGAAAATGAGAAATATACCCCATTCTGATCATTAATCCTGGACCACAGAATGCCTTAACCTTAGTACATATCTGGTGAAAGACTAAAAAAAAAGACTTTTTATTAAATAGCTCATAAACAAAAACACATAAATGCTCAAACTAAAACAATAAAAAACCTAACAGTTATCAAATTGGATACAGAATTAAAATATATTTACTTAATAGTGGCTTCTGGGGTTCCATTTGTCAAAATCGTGTCTACGTGTTTCATACAATGGAATATGGCATCTGTAGGGTAAATGAATGGTTTATTGATATTTAAGATAAACACAAAGAGTGTTTCCAGAAAAATATAATGATAATTTATATGAAAGGGTTAGAGGGAGGTGAACCTTTTCCATTACAGCTGATATTATCGAACACCAAAGACAGGAGCAGCCAACAGAGGAGCCACCACGTCACCCTGTTAAGTGAGTAGGATTCATTTAGTAAAAGTTAAAAAAAAGTCTGTGGTAACACTTTATAATGAGTACACACTATTAAGCATTAGTTAAGCATGAATAAATACTGAATTCATCATTTATAAAGCATGAATACACATTAGTATGTAGTTTATAAACATAGTTAAAAATGTTTTATTCATCATTGATAAGCACATTAGTTATGGATTAGTGAATGCTGAATTCATCATTTATAAAGCCTGATTCTGCTGTAAATAGTCATTATTAATGAATAGTGACTGTGTTAGCAGATGTTCTATAAAAACTCACAACAAATTCATTTTCTAATGATGGCCTATAAACAGTTATTAATGCAGGAATTCACAGTTACAAAGCACTTACTACTCGTTAATTAAGTATTTTGTGCGAGCTCATCTAAAGTGAGCACTATCTATGGCTTATTAAGCATTTACAAATGAGATATAAAGGCTGACAATGCCTCGAGACTCACAAAATGTTCAGTTATCTTAACAGACGAAGGAGAGACACAACACAAAGGGATATAGAACATATTGTATTGATATTTACTGCAACTTCCCAACATATTGTATGAAGACGAACAAGGGTGGTTTATGAAGACATGCTATTGTTGTGATCTTATCTGTTTGGGACGTGTACGTTGAGCTCCCGCTCTCAGCACGTCATCACGTTGATGACGTGCTGAGAGCATGTTACGTCATATTTACGTTAACTCTCAGAAGTTTGTGACAGTGCAGCCAAGGGGAGCATGGAGGAGCACATTAGAGTCTGCGGCCGTCAGCGGCTCTAGTGGAGAGTATGTGTCTTTGTTTGGTAGCACACATCATGGTTGAAAGATAACGTCAGCTTGTCAGCAGCTGCAGGTGTTTGCCCTCGCTCCCCGACTAACGTTACTAACGTTACTACCGTTACTACCGTTACCGACCCGCCCGCGGTGGCTAAGCTGACCTAGTCTAGTCTCGTCTAGCCGGGCGAGGTGAGGGCCTAGCAGCGGCAGGTCGGCTTAGCCACCGCGGGCAGGTCGGTAACGTTAGTAACGTCAGTCGTTAGTGTCAAGTGACAAGCTAACGTTATCTTTCAACCATAATTGATTTTGTGAGTGTCGAGGCATTGTCAGCCTTTATATCTCATTTGTAAATGCTTAATAAGCCATAGATAGTGCTCACTTTAGATAAGCTCGTGCAAAATACTTAATTAACGAGTAGTAAGTGCTTTGTAACTGTGAATTCCTGCATTAATAACTGTTTATAGGCCATCATTAGAAAATGAATTTGTTGTGAGTTTTTATAGAACATCTGCTAACACAGTCACTAATCATTAATACATGTCTGAATAGTGGATGTGCAAGTGCATGCAGAAATGTACAGTACAATGAGGAGTAAAACATTTATAACTGGGATTATAAACCACATAGTAATGACTATTTACAGCAGAATCATGCTTTATAAATGATGAATTCAGTATTCACTAATCCATAACTAATGTGCTTATCAATGATGAATAAAACATTTTTAACTGTGTTTATAAACTACATACTAATGTGTATTCATGCGTTATAAATGATGAATTCAGTATTTATTCATGCTTAACTAATGCTTAATAGTGTGTACTCATTATAAAGTGTTACCGAAACGGTATTTATGTAGCACTTTTCACAGACATAAGTCACAAAGTGCTTTACAGAGGCAATGTATAATAACGAAGGCACAACAGGAAATGTACAACTAAAAATATATAAATATAATATATAAATATTGAATATAATTTAATATAAATATAGAAATACAAACACAAACACACACACACACAACATAGGCAAGCATAGAAATATATACATATATATGTATATATTTGTGTGTACATACAAATGCAAAGCTCTGTATGTAGGGGTGAGAATTTTAAACTGTATCCTGTATGCGCTATTACAAGGAAATAGACATTATCTCACTTGTACAATGAACAATGAACTAACAATGATGGACTCCAACTCTCTTTAGACAGCCAAATTAGATGACTTTGACCTAAAGAATACCAAAACATAGCCTACCTTTTCATGTTACTGATGTCCTGTGAGCTTTTTTTTTCATCTGACGAGTGCAGCTGATGTGACAGCGGAGCAATAGCAAGTGAGGAAACCTGCTTAAATCGAAGAGCTTCATAGGAAGTTGATAAAATAACATGTAAATGACATTCTGAGAAAAAAAAAGGGGAAGCCACAACCAACAGGAAGCTGCATCCTTCTGTAGTCACTGAATCATAAAGTGAATATGAGCTCACCCTAAATAATTGAAAAATATTATACTCAACATTGGTCACCACACATACCTTGTATTTACTGTAGAAGTTTATGCTAAACTTCATAGAATTTATCAGCACTGGTAAAAAATAACCCACATTACTTGGTTTATGGCTGCATGTCCCCGCTCCCAGCAGCAGAGGGGAGTAGCAGATCAAAAACTCAAACAAAACCAGGTGTTGAGATTTAAATTCATGTTTTTAATCCTCCAATTTGTGTATGTTCTGATTTTTTCTTGTTATTACAGGAATTAAAGTGTCCCTCCTGGTTGCTTGATCAATAAATCTGAATTGAGTGTAAACCTGAACATGTGTTGCAAATCATGCATTCTTCACATGCTTTCTATCCTATGGTTATTTTCTACTGAAATGTTTAAATGAAAAATGATAAAGAAAATTAACCCATTATTACGAAATTTTATTTCATCATTCATTTTCTTCATAACCAGTTTTTGGAGATCATTTTTATTTAATTGTTTTTCACATTTTTAAAAAAAAATTTATAGCATTCCTTTTTAAGACAGTTGTATTGTCACCCCCCTCTCACCTTTCACCCAATCACAAATCCCCTTCCCTGTCTTAAGCCAGCAAGCTCAACAACTGCTCCCTACTTTAACCAGTTAGTTCCTGTTAGCTAGAGCAACAACAATGCTATTATTATTCTGAATCATACCAACTAAAGACTGCTGCTGTTATAAACACAGTACACAGAAAAATAGTAATTACATTTATGTAGCTTTTAAGCCTTAACTTAACAAGGCAGCTCATGCTACAGCTAGCATATACAATCTCGTTAAGCAAGAATATTTTCTATGTCTAGCCTGCTATCTGACTAATTCTGGATGTGGTTGTTGTGCTTGCTAGCTAAAGAAGCTGGGGACATGTGATTGGCTGAAAGATAAGAGGGCAGTGACTACATCACTATGACGAAAAGAAAAAGTGACATGAAATATAAGTGCTATTTGGAAAGAATTATAATCATTTAATAGTGAACACTTTGGAGGTCCATAGCTGTCAGGCCCGGATTCAAGCCACCTGTTTGATTCTAATACCGACCCATATGTGTTTATGGACCCACCTGTAGCTCGTGACACTGTGCATGCATTCCATGGCTCTGTGTGTGGGTGTGTGTGTGTGTATGTGTGTGTTGTACATTATGCTTTATCCATCAGCACGTTTACTGGCTGGGCATGCAGGTGGCCTTTCTGCCAGGTGGCAAACACGCCTTAGAGACAACAAAACAGACAAGAACAGAATAGAATGTAACAGAACAAAACAGAATACAGTAAATTAGAATGGAACGGAATAGAAAAGAACACAACATAATACATAGATTACTTAACCCAGTAAGACTGTTGTTGATTGATTGTTCTCCCTGAAGGAATAATTACATTTCAGTTGACTGTTTTCTTGGTTACACACATTTCTCAATATTGAGATCATGTTTTCAAAACTCTTCACATAGTCAGCACAACAGTGAATAACTTCAATACATAGTGCACTCAGTGACCATATCTTTTAAATGTTATCAGTTGTTTTCTCACTCAAAAACTGTGAAATGTATGTTCAAAGCCCATATACCAAACATTACCCAAAATCACTGTAAATTGTACTGCAATTTGCTACATTCTGCTACATATAAATCTTAAAGAAGTAAATAAAAAAGTAATAGTACATAAACTGCACATTGGACCATACATCAGTGAGCTCCTCATTTCATTCCTGTGTGACTCTATGGAAGACTTAGGTGAGGATATCTATGTTTGAAGATATCCTACAAATCAGTGCCTGAACTAGTGAGCTGGTACTCACTGAGTACTGTCACTTTTTTTGTCCACATGAGTACCCTTACTTCTTATTGCATGAGTACAGCAATGCTGGTGAGGCACTCCTAAACACCTGTGTAACTGCATCTCTGTGTGAGCACAAAGCTAGCTTAATGCTAAGAAAACAGCACTGAAAATGTCCTTAGAATGGATTAAAAACAATAGGGTGGGGTTATATTGTGTAGACGGGTTGTGCTGAATTAGGGTACTGGCACATTTTTTGGTCCAATTCAGGCACTGCTACAAATGTAAGTATACTCAATATAAGCTAATTTGTTTTGTATTGCCTTACTTTTTCAGTTACATAAAGGACATATGTGGAATAATACATACAGTAAAAATGAAAATGTTTTTGATTATAACATTTTTTAATTCAAATAAACAAAATAGTAAAACCAAAAGCTACTTCAAAGACAATAGTAATACTACTATATAGTATATAGTAACTCAGTTTTATAGTTGGGAGAAAAATGTGACTGTTTACTGTTTAAGGGAAACAATGAAACACAGTTCCAAAAAATTCTATTAGTAATGGCTTTGTTGGCGGGGGACTTCCCTGTGTTCGGTTGGGTGACGCCAAGACAGCTGAGATCACTGGTGTACGGACAAGGACTGACAGATGTTAGCCTCTAGGGTTTGATCCTACCTGTGACAAACTATCAAAGACTGCTCACCTGGATAGAAGGAGAGCAGTGAAGCAGAATGACTCACACACGGCAGATGATGATCCTCATTATGACCAACTGGAAAAACCTGGGTGATAAACGCACTCTCTCTCTGTAGTGAATGTGAACGTAGCATTTTTAATTGTCAGCAAAAGTGGCTACACATCATACAACAGGGATGGGGATTTCTGAGGTGCTGAAACTGCTGCTTTGTTTCCCCATTTGTACTACATCTAAAACACTAGCTGAGAAAACATTAGAATTTACTACATGAGCCGAGGCTTAAATATTGAGGTCTTGAACCAGTAACCAATGACATACCCATTCTGTAAGTCCTTTAGCCTTAGATCCATTGAGATGTCTATGTAGACAACTTATTATGGTGAAAATAACAGGGACTGCCTGAGGATCATTCTCTGCTGTCCCATTAACCCTAAGGATTTCAAAGTGACAGATTTATATATAAATACACATTTAATGGTGCAATTGCTTATTATTGCTTACAAACACGAGAATGTAACAGATATAGACCAGATACCATTGCATTCATGAAGTTGTAACCACTGTGTGTGTGTGTGTGTGCCTGACGGAAACTTACAGTAACAACATTCCCATATTAGTTAATGAATTGTGAGGCTATAGTCATTTTATGACACATAATTGTGGTTTTAAATGTCATATCTTATCAGTACTTTCCTGTTATATTCAGATTATGTGTGTGTGTGTGTGGTCACCTTGCTGTGGTGGAGCTATAAAACACAGGGGGGAGGGTCATGTTTGCTGGCGCCCGCCTCAGGCTCTTTCTCTGCTTCCTCCCCACTTCCACCTCCATCCGTCCGGTAGATAAGAGCATTGTAGTGGTCAGCTCTGTCAAGTCAGCCACAGAAAGACAAGACAATACCGGAAATACATTTCAAAATAAAAGGCAAAAGTGCTCACACCTGGGAAGAAACATATTTTATTTGTATGATTATTATTGTTATTGTTGCCATTATTATTATTATTAAAGATATGTAGTTTGCAGTTTAATTATCGCTTGCTGCCAATGTCAAATGTTATCACATTGATTAAATAAGCTTGTATATCTCTTCCATGAGGTCTCATAAACACATATTAGTGTTTAACTGTTTATGGCCTATATGCTGTTAATGGGACAATATCTGAAAAGGAAAAATGAGACCGGATTTTAACTGGAGAAAATTATAATTATTAGTGTAGCATAGATGCCTGTTTGTGTTATCTCCATTTTCATTACAATCGAGTCAGACTACCTTCCTTTTATTTTGAAAGTCACGACGGGGGCACCTCCGCCCTGTGCTGTCCGGCTTGACGATAGCATCTCCACGTTAGGTAGGCTACCGAAACACCACAAACAGACCACTGTTCGTCCTGCACCGGCGGGGACACAACACAGAGCCACTGACTCGGGACATGACTGATAGCAACTAGCTGAGTACCGGCTTCCAAGAAATTTTTTGCTGGGAAAAGGGAAAAACTGGATATAGAGGGCAAAATCCCATCCAATCTTTTTTTTCTTTTTTCTTTTCTTTTTTTAAAAAGAGGTCGCGATCTAAAACAGCCGTGTTTGCTTTTACAGCTACCGTTACTTGATGATACCACTGAAGGAGTCGGTCAAGTGCGGTGAACTTCGGGCTTATTATTTGGCTGTTGTTTAGTGGTTTTGCAACTTCTCAGGGTACATTTAACTGCACTTCATTGGGCATTATTATCACGAGAGGGTGTTGTTAAGTTGAACATGTTGGCAGTAAATGATTTACTAAAGCATTTCTGCGGCAGACCCGCTTTGCTGATAGCAGGCATTGCTGGAGACGCTGGGGCTCTTTTGTAAAGTGCACTTTCAAGGTTACTTATTAGGCAGCCACTTTGATGTTGATTAAATGAGACGTGCGCTCTCGTGGGTAACCCCGGCTGTAATAGGGCACAGTACGCAGATCAAGGTGAGGCGGTCTGTCAACGGTGCAAACTAAAGGTAAAAACTTCTAGGAGAAAGCTATATGGACATTCATTGGCTCTCATATGAGTGAACTTACTTACCGACATTGATGCGGGGTCAGTTTGTAATGCGGCTCTGACTGTAAATCTGGAATGGAGCTTTTTTCCAGGATGCAAGTGCTCTGTTGAAGACTGCTGTTGCATTCTTGCTAGGGGGTAATTCACTACAGTTTTTATTACGACTTTTACTGCACAAACTAGAAATATTACGACTAAAAACTAGTCAAATACAAAGTATTACACCGTAGAGAGTGAACCACGACGAACACCGACTGATTCCCCTCGCGCCCAGACCATGGCATCCCCCTCGCGGAACAGCTGCTTTTGGTTGCTCTGGAGACGGACCTTCCTCGCGCTGTCCATGTGTGCGCTGGGGGCGCGTGGAGCGGAGGATGCCAGCACCTTCAACGCAGAGGTAAAACACAGCGGCGTTTTCACTGACAACACCGACTAAACAATGCAATTACTAACTAGTTGCGATGAAACCAGAAGCAGCAGAGGTTAGAGACGACTTTAAAGCCCAATATAAACAGCTCTGGCACTGAAAATGACCCAAAGCCATGATGCCAAGCAGCGTTTTGCTTCCACAAAAAAACACGTATTCACTATCACAAACAATACAAATTGACATGTTCTTTGCTCAAGTCATATAGGTGACCAAATGTCATAGGCCTGTCTCTGTTAACCAATACTGTAACAGAAGCTTCAAACACGACCCAGCCAATCCCAATTAATGCAGAACTGTCCAGTGCACAACATCTAGTTTTGTTCTGGTACTAATGTCAATTACATTATTATTATTATTATCATAGACTACCCTCAACACACTCTTATTTTCCCATGTCCCAGTCCTAGGCAGGCGTACAGAAATAAGTGCTTACCCTGGACAGTGACACTGTAACAGGCTTAACTGGAGTTTGTGTGGACATAAATGCTTTGACATTGCAGTCGTTTACATTACAAGGGTTTCAGAGTCCTCCCTGCCCGGACCCACTCTCTCTCTTGACCGTTCCCATCTATAAGGTATTTTCGCCCGGAGGGACCTCCGCCTCTTTCAGTAATTGGAGATGCTTTAGTCAAGACGTTTTGTTCTTCTGGGCACCCCCATGGAATCCCGTTCTTAAGCCTTAGGTGAATGGGCAAACACACACAAAAACACAGCATCCTACTAATGCCGGCTCTACACCTATAAGATGGGTTGATGATGGGTGGTGGAGTGTGTGTGGTTTGCAGAGACAGACTGACAGACAGACATAGAGACCGCCCGGTCATTAGAGGTGAGATGGTATTACCAAACTCAGTGACCAGGGGGTCTGCTTGTCAGTCTGTCAGGTTACAACACATTCTGATTAACATAGCTGTGGTGTGTGTGTGCAGGTGTGTGCTAATGTATCTGACTGAGACAAGAGACAGAGGGTTTACACAACGTGTGGACTGATGAGAAATTCCTAAGCACTTGTTGCTAAATATGTGTGTGTGTGTGTGTGTGTGTGTGTGTGTGTGGGGTGTGTGTGTCAGCTGAAATAATAACAATTGCGTTACCCAAGCATAGATCTCTGAAAGCAAGTAGAAGAGAAGTTCTCTTTTTTTAAAGCGTTTTAGTATAATAAGTTGGCACACTGTTGTTTGCATTAAAAGTGAAATTATGAAAGTGTCAGGACTACCTTTACTTTGGGGTCAGAATTGTTTTCAGGTAGTTTTTATAACATTAATATGATGATATGCTGAATCCATCTGCTCAGGATGCTTGTGCCATGCCATATGTTGATCAGCTGTGACCAAAGCCTGTGAGGTGACCAGTCGTTTCCCAAATGTTAGGAATAGCACAGTAAACGGTATTGGTGCATTAGCCCGGGAGGAAATTGTAATTAAAACCTGTCGCTTGTAGCTCTCCACCTGTCCAGTTCAGATGATTTTAACTTGTAGCAGCGACTGTTTGCATTGATAGCCTAGCTTCAAATCTGCAGTGGTGCTCCGACAAACATGGCAAACGTGGAGGCTCGTATCTGTTTGATTTAAAAGATTTTAAAGATTGCTTGTCACTTGAGGACTTAAAGAAGTCACGCTGTTCGTTTACTGAATGTTTATGTTTGAACAGAAAATAGGCTGAAATTTCAGTAAAGCACATACTGTGGTCTACAGTCTGAAATAAAGGACAGGTAAGGCAGGACTTGCACAATATAATCGACATATTTGTTTCATAGCAGCGTGTATCTGTAAAACAAAACCCAGACTATGTTGCAATATGTTGAAACTACATTATACACCTCCTCTACAGTTTGTCCACATACTGAAATAGATTGTCTAGAGTTCGATCCGATCCTCACTCTTCAGATGTAGTTCAATCCCTCTGTTTAGCAGTTGGTCTGAGACCTCAACTCCTACTCTGTCTGGACAAAAAGGATGAAGTGGGAGGGTAGAAGAAGAAAGGAATAGAGAGGGATCAGGGGCAGGGCAAGAATCTGAGAAGTTTTGATTGAAAAAGGGAAATGTCACAGCTACACAGCCAGGAGAGCTCAGTCATGGAGTTACTTATGAAAGAGAAACAAAGACGAGGGAGAAAGTTGACGGGGATACTAGCGGTCAGTCTCAGCTGTGCAGCATGTGATGGCTGAATGTGACAGCTGTTTTCTAACTGGGACACACACACACACAGACACACACACACACACACACACACAGTGCACAGGCATGCTGGGCCTGGGACTCCAAGGCATCTTTGGAAATACAATGGACCCTCTTGTCTGAAGAGAGAGAGCTGGGAGAGAAAACCTGTGAATAGGAGAGAAAGAAGATGAGAGAGCACAGAGAGAAACATGGACGTGATAAGACAGGCTGTATAGAGAGAAGGCAAAAAGTGTGCAACAGCAGTTTGTGGCTAAAGCAGAGTAACAGCAGCGAGGAGCTGGGTAATCAGGGACTTATAACGCACATAACTAGAGAACTTCCTCAATCCGTATCCTCCTTGTATCCATTTAATCTGCAGCGTGCCGTCTCTTCACATTCCAGCCACTTCCCCCCTGCTCCCCTGTGATTGGCTATCACCGTGCCCACAAAGACTCCCATTGCTACAGTGATGGGGACTAAGCCGGGGAATGCCACAAGATGGGAACTATCTGAACTATTTATTTATATGTTTTGCAAAATCTCGCACGTTTGCATCCTCGCGTGCGAGAAAAACAAGCATCTGTTTGCCTCTCTAACCCCATGTGTGTTCACCAAATTTTCAAAATTGGACAAATGAAATTCTCTTCCTCCTGTCTGTCTGTGCCTCTTTGTTTCTCACTGCTCCATTTACTTATCCATCCTCTTGGTAGGACTTTGGGGGGGTAAAAGATGGCAGCAGACCAAGCCTCGGAATAAAAGCTCTGTTAGTATCTTGGCTGACATTGTGGTGGACACACACACACACACACACACACACACACACACACACACACACTCCTGGCAGGTTTTACAACTCCTTGTATATTGCTGGGTCTGGTTTTGGCAGGTAAGCTCAAGGACTCTTTGAAAGACCATTTAATAGACGGTACTCGCACGCACCCACACACCCACACACCCACACACACACACACACACATACACGAGTACTCCCTTATTCCTCCTGTTGTCTAAGACGTGTTTTGTATTCAGCCCAGCTGATGAGGGAAGGTGAGTGGGCAGACTGAAGTGCTTTACTGTTTTAGACGATGGGGGTTGCAGGGGTTCATATGCCTCCATACATCTTCCCAACAGTACTGCAGCTCTGCCCTTGCACCCGACTACAGTCTGTTGTAAATATTTGCTAGGAAGGGACAGAGAAAGACTGCGTAGAGGCAACATCAGATACCCGGATATACACAAAGACACAAACATCAACAGACATGAAGGCATTTCCCTTTTTGCCCATATCACTGCAGCAGTGACAACCATGTGGAGGTGCTGATCACAGAGGAGCAGAGAGGATGTGGCTGGAATAAGGAAAGATGCATGTTGGAGATTACACGGAACAATAGCTTCGTTTTTTTTTCTTTAAATGACTTTTATTGGAATTCTGATGGGAATTGCAGTCTTACCCCTGTTTCTCCCGCAGTGTCTGTTGTGGTTGGATGACCGTTAGTGGGTGCATTACAGCAAGTGCTTTGTTTTTTTATCTCCAGGCAGCATGAAATATGAACAGCATTAGCTGTCATGAAACAACAATCAATACAGCTCGTTACTAATCAGCTCTTGGAAGACTTTCTGTCTCTTGTGGACATGTTTTTTGTCATTTAAGAAATTCATCTATTTTCTTCAACTCGTGATGGAGTCTAGACAAGTGGAAAGACCCTTTTATTCAACAGTTGAATGCATGTACAGCTGTTGCGATGAAATGAAACCCTTCTGTTAGGGCCTCTCTGAGTATTTGATATTAAACAATTGGCCATTTACTAAAACCCTCCCCCAAACAGCGTCCAATCACAGCCTAGCAACTGGCGCGGTAGGCTTTGGATTCCTTAACATGCCAAAGTGGTGTGCGTGGGGTTGTAGGAAGGTAGCGATACTCTGCATCTAAAGAATTTAAATTAAATTTTAAAACCAAGAAGACATAGCAAAGGCCAAAGAAATGTATGAATCAGCGCGTTTTTCTGCTTTAACATAAGCCCCAACTCATTACCTGGGATAGCTTTATACGGTGGCCCTGAGAGCTCAGCAGATTAACGGAACACAAGCAAATAGACAAAACACAGGCAAATTAAGGAAAAGGCTGCAAAAAGAGGAAACAATCAAATAAAGAAAGCTAGTAGCACAGATAACAACAGAAACTGTTTACAGGGAACACTGACTAAGTGGGACACACCTGTTGTTGCCATGGTCTGTGACTCATGAAGTTATATAAGTCGGCTATCCATAAGCGGTGTTGGAAAATTAGCTAAATTAAACCTTTTTTGACAGGCGTGGCAATGGTAACTAAGGGGGCGGGGCTTTGTTATCAGTTATTTGTGTTATACTGATGTTGTCAGTGGTGTGCACTTATTGTTATTGTGTAACTGTGAGAACATGTATTCTGAAGTTATTTCAGATGAAAAGAGTGTTTTGTGAACCCTGCCACCTGTTTCCCTCGCCTCGACTGTGTGTGTGTGTGTGTGTGCGTGTGTGTGTGTGTGTGTGTGTGAGAGAGAGTATTTAGATAGTGTTTCAGGAAAGGCATGTTTGTGTTTGAGAGAGAAAGGGGGAGTGTGTGTAGTTGTGTGTGTTTGAAGCTTTCTTATCTAAAGGCAGAGGTGGGTCAGGGTCACGTCCAGTTCAGCCCTCTCTGTCTCTTCCTGCTCCTACACACTCACAGAGCTGATACAGCCCGTGCATCCACTGCCAGAAAGAGGATAAAGATGAGACACAGAGAGGGAAAAATGGTAAAATAATATTATTTCCATATATTATTTGGATATTTCCTCCAAAGTCCAGCAACAACTGTATGGACACGTGCATTTATGAAAACTCTCATGGCATATAATATGGCCTTCATAACTGATGGAATAACAATACAAAGCTCCCCACATAGCAGGCTGTCTTTACAAATGTGTTTGGAGATGTGACATGAGGATGAAACAGGTTTTGAAGGTTTCAGCTCCTCAGGCCAAGTGCTCCAAAGCCTGAGGGCTCAAACACTTGCGGTTTTCAACCTTTCACCCTCCCGATGGCTAGTGGATAGACCCTAAAGACACAAAGTCTCAGGTGCAGAGTAACAAAGAATTTTGCCTCACTGCACTGTGTCTTCGAGTTATTCATGTTTTTTTTTTTCATTTTTTGGTGAGTGAGCTCCCTGTCTGTTGTGCAGGTTTTTTTTACTGCTGTCAGAAAAGCTTAATACGATTTTATGATATAAAACTTTAACCTTCAGGGAGAAAGAGATGGGTTGGGGGGGGCTACTTCAACAAAGGCCATATATTTATTGGGCGACAGAAGTCATCAACTACCTTAATTGATCACAAAGTATGAGATGCCATCAGGATCTGTCAGACTCAGCTCAGCAGCTGACAGTGATTGATCGATCTGGCATTATGCATTTACTTCAGGAGAATTAATCACAGCGGCACTGGAAGGACTGATCTAATGGTGGAGGAAGGACACAACTGAGGCAAAATATATTTTTTCTCCAGCTGGGAATGTTGGAGGTGAAGTTACGTTGAGGTTTGATACCACCAGCTGGTCTAGTATTTTTAATGTTGATAATATCAACAAAGAGGAGCACAGGTCCACACCTTTGGCCCTTTGACCTTTTTCTAACATCCATTCATTTTGAAGTTGTGCAGACAGTGCAGTCCACTCAGGCAGAGGGTTAACAGAGTAAATCAAGAAAGGTCTGGAGGCCATTTTCAATTAGTTTTCATTGGACTGTTGGGACATTTAGTTTGTGTTGGACACACGTAGAGCAAATAAACCCCTTTCTGGGCGGGTGGCTACCTACTCCACTAACCAGTTTGGTCGGCAGTATCGTGTTTGACCACAGTCTTTCATAAGATGGGTGTACGTGTGAGAGAGAAACATAGATAAAGACTGAAAGAGGTGAGTTTGTTTTTATGGCTTTAAAGGAGTGGGTAAGTAAATACAGATAAGTAAATAAGTACTATTTTACATTGTGAAAGATGGGCGTAAACATGGGACTTGCACACACACACGCTCACACAGCAACATGCACAAGCACACGTGCACAATCAGATACACACCCTTTTACATTCCCTGCGCCACCGTGGGGAGTGTGTCCACGTGTGGGCGTATCTGGTATCTTAGACTATCCAATATGCAAGTGCTTGCTTGTGTACGAGCGTGTGTGTGCGTGAGATATTGGGTTTCTACATAACAGGTGGGACAGACTTTGCGTCATCTGTGATTGGGTCGAGTATCACGTTTTCTCCCTCAAGTCTGTCATTAACCCCCACCCCCACCACCACCACCACCACCCCAGCCCTCCCAGTTACATACTCCCAGAATGTAGTCAGATACAGAAGTCCTCACAGTGTTCTCATTCAGACCTGAAACCTCCCTGCTTTCTCTCTTTTATATAAAAAATATTAAATGTCCAAGATAGCCAATAAACTGTAGAATATATTTAAAAAAGCAATGTTGCATTATGATATCACATAACGACACATGGCCCATTTCTTCCATTCAGAATCAAATAACAAATTCCACAAAGGCTGGGTACCAACGCAAACCTCCATCATGTTACAGAAGCTGAAGCTGAGCTCATTCCTCTGAGCTGTAAACAACACAAATTGCCCATATGCTCATAAAACTGTGTGTTTCCATAATTTTTATTTCCTTTCTCTCATCATAATTCACCTCTTGATTATGTAAAAAGTCTCTTGCTTCTAAAATTTGATCATGTCTGCATAGAGTAAGCCGTCAAGGATTAAAGGCCTTATGTTAACATACTCTTTCTCAAATCTTTATTTTGCTGTTGCTGTCAACTTCAGCAATGTAAACCTAATTAGCACTGATTCAAGTGAGTCGCATTATACGAACAGAGGATGCTTCTTTATTTGTTAACAGTTTCCTTTATGTTTTCCTCCCTGTGTCTCTCCAGTCGTGGCTGAGGATGTACGGTTACCTCCCCCAGGCCAGCAGGCAGATGTCAACCATGCGATCGGCTCAGATCCTGTCCAATGCCGTCAGCGACATGCAGCGCTTCTACGGCCTGGAGGTCACTGGACAGATGGACCCTCAAACCATCAGGTCAGCATTTAGACTTAAACACACTCATAAAAGAGTGTTCACCAGCTCCATGAAATTCATTTTGGGCCCCAAAATTAAGTTAAATTGTTACTGTTTTGCATGTCCCTGAAATGTTTTGATATTGTTAATATGCTAATATTAGGTAGAATCGGGAAATATGGAGTTGTAACCAGGACATGATTTGCTGGTCAGTGGTATAAATGGGTAATGTCTCCACCTCCTCGTACTGCTGAGCACCTTCTCCTCAGTAGCTTGCCGCTCAGTAGTCTGGCTGCACTAGGCAGCTCACAGGTACGCTTTAAATTAAACAACAAAAAAGAACATAGACATCAAGACGAGAAAGTGGGGGTTTTAATGTCATTCTCCCCTTCATCTCTTCTCTTGGGTGCTCCTTCCTTTCAACACATATCACACATATCTCCTGCCTGCTCCTGACTCCTTTCAACTCTCTCAGTGCCATGAGGAGACCCCGCTGCGGTGTGCCTGACAAGTTTGGAGGCCAGATCAAAACCAACGTGCGGCGGAAACGCTACGCCCTCACCGGACATAAATGGAACAAGAGCCACCTCACTTACAGGTAACAAAAAAAAGATGTTCTGTTTGTAAAGAAAACCTGACACAAAGCCACAGTACATGCTCAATGTCTTACTTTGTTGGTAACACACGGATGCATTTTCTAAGTTGTTGCAGCAGTCCTCATTTTTCAGTGTAGGTGGCTACTGTAAATCAATATGTGTTCAAGTTGGGATTTGAATTAATTTAGCTTTAATGTTTTTCATTCATTTTGTTGCTTTTGAATCAACGAAGAAATTAGTTTTCCTTGAAACTCACACAAGCCTTTGTATGATTGTTTTTCCCTCTTCCCCTCTTCGCTCCCACAGTATCCAGAACTACACTCCCAAGATTGGAGAGTATAACTCATACGAAGCCATCCGGCGGGCGTTTAAAGTCTGGGAGGGAGTGACCCCGTTGACCTTTGATGAAATCCCATACCAGGAGATCAAATATGGACGCCGCAAGGAGCCCGACATCATGATCTTCTTTGCTTCGGGGTTCCATGGAGACAGCTCTCCTTTTGATGGGGAGGGAGGCTTCCTCGCTCATGCCTACTTCCCTGGACCTGGAATGGGTGGGGACACGCACTTTGACTCCGATGAACCATGGACCATAGGAAACCAGAACGTACAGGGTAAATGGTTGCTGTCAGTATAATTTGTTAGGCCGATTGTATTATGGATTTTAGGAACAGTTGTCATTTTCCTTAGCGACTACAGTAATTAGAAAGTATAAATAACAACAGGAAAAAAAAAACTAATCTCCACCAAACACCTTTCTAGGAGAGGTTTTTAGGAGGGAAAGTCTTGTGTGGCCTCAGGTGCTGCAGCCTGCTGTGTTTTGAAGCTTTTTCTTGAGGGCTCGGATGATGCAGGGGAGTCATTGCTTAATTTATAGGTAGAAATGGAGGATATAGGGATTATCACATCTGCGGTCGTTTCTGTGAGTGTTCAGCTGATGAGCAGTTTGCAGCACTATAGCCATGTCATGTTGCAATGGATCTATTTAATAGATCCCCATCGCTTTCCTCCACACCTAACTAGAGTTGGCATGGCTCAGCGAGCTACATCGCCTCTCATTTGTCAGGCTCTGCTGCTCCATTTACATCTGCAGAGGTTCAAAGGTGACACACACACAGTCTTTGCCCCCAACTGCACCTCCTCATAGTTCTCAAATTTACCCCCAATTATGTTGCTAAGAACATTTACTGACTAACACTAATCCACAAAGTCCTCCATGCGTAACCTTTACACTTTCCTTAAAATGGAACCTTAACCCAATTATAATTCTTAACACCAATGTATAGCACTAAACTAATCATATGCAGAAGTGAGGATTAAGCAAATATCTTCATTTTTAAGAATCTTAAGGAATTAAAGGAGTTCATCTCAGCGCTGTGAACCCATTAACCCTGCTGACTTCGACAGCGTGCGTCCCTGCCCTGTTATCTACATACACACAGCAGACACGGACAGCTCAACTTTGTGTGTGCATCTGTGTGATCAGCTGTGTGTGGGATGTGTCGCAGGACAGATCACAGGGATGCTGAAATGCCACAGTAAGTGGGAGTGTGGTCCACTCTGGGCGATAGACTGGTCCCTTTGTTGCGCCACGCTACTTACACAGCTTAAAAGCAAAGTACAAACAAATTACAATCTTGTCTGACATGAGTTAGACACATGTCCAATTAGTTGGACTTTTCACAGATGTTGTCTTCATTTAACTCATTTTTGCTGCCTTCCAATTGCACGGGTGCTTAAATGTGGCCCTTATCCTTTGAGAAATTTCAATTTGATGTTTCCTTTCAGCTGGCAAAACTCATGCAGCTTGACCCATCAATTGGCTGTTGAAGTATCTTTTTTCCTGTTATACTGTTTGCTTAATTCAGTTAATTGTTAAATTCAATTATCAACATTAACATTGTATGGCTCTAGCCCCTTATATAAAAATTTGCTGTATTTCTCTGTTTTATATCATTGCAAATTAAATATCTTTAGGTTTTACAGTGTTAGTCGCACAAAACAAGCAAATGTTAAAATGTAAAAATATCACGTTAGGTTCTAGTAAACATTTTGTAGACTATTGTATGGACCAATTTAAAGCTATTATACCGATATATTTCGTTACAATTTTGGCTGAAATAACTAATTGTGACCATTGTGTGTCACCAACAATATTTAATTGAATGGTTCCTTTTATAAATGCGACTTAGCGTTGGGGTACGAGGCAGCAGAGAGAGGGACGGAAGGTTTTACATTGTGTATCTTCAAATTGCCTACTACTAACCGAAGCAACCGTTAGTTGACATCTTTTTGGTACTGATGGAGAATAAGGATATTCCTCAAGAAGTGCCAATGTTCATATTAAGTAAAGGAGACTGAACCTTAATCTCACACGAAGCAGCAGAATTGTATAAAGAAGTGAGCCTCAGTTAAGTGTCCTGACACAGAACCAGCTCTGACCTCTGACCTCCTTTTGGATGGGGGTCAAACAAAAACAGACAGTAGCTAATGGATCAATAGTTACACATGAAAAAATGTATATGACGGTAAAAGCACAAATCCATGTCATCCATTCTTTGCAGTGAGGGTGTTTTCTTTTCACATTGGTGACCTCAGTTTCATTTGTCAGTGAAAAAAAATTCTATTGGCCCAAACACTTTTGGAGTAAACCTTGTGACGCACAATGTGATTAATCAGTCTTTTTTGGCACAGATGCTCAAACAAAAACAGATTTTACACTTTATCTGAACCACCCGCTGACATGCACACTCAAACACACCTTACACAGCTGAAACGCTGTAGGCCAGTAGTGGGAAAAGGTCAGAAGCTTTTGTGGTTCTTTGTGGTCAGATGAGACTAATGAGGGTGAGTCGCTGGCGAAAGGCAGAGCAAACTTGGAGAGTGCATTTTGGTTGTCAGGGTGCTGCTTTTGTGTGCCTGTTCTTCACTGTGAGCCCCCCTCGCTTCTGATGAACGAAGTGTGAGACATGGTGAACAAAGCTTCAAAGAGCTGAAAAAGGACTTGACTGACAAAATGTGTGTGTGTACAGGGTAGTCAGCATTAGCAATAACTGCATTGGCTGAACTTCTAACTTCGCCAAGACTTTTGAAGTTTACTCTTCCCTTTCTCTGTCGAACTGAATGGTTGTCACAGTTACCTCACAAAGGCCTCTTTATCTTCTCTCAGCGCTCTCTCTCTTTCTCTTTTTTCATCCTCAGCTTTCTCTAGCACACTACTTACCCTCTGCTATTTTCTCTCCTTGAGTGTTAGCTGCAGCTTAATATGCCATGAGGACATTCATGTGACTGAAATTACAGATAGTGTGTGTGTGTGTGTGGGGGGGGGGCGACTGTGTGTATCCTTGTGTGTGTTCTGCAATGAGGAAATGAGGAGATGCACAAGGACAGGCATCCGGAGCATCTCCCCTTCCTTTGCATGCACAGCAGTGACATCATCATGTCCCAATCCCCCAACGGCATGATGTCACTGGCACAAATGTGATCAGTCAGCATGGGCCATCGGGCCAGATGAAATGGCTCGCAAGTTCAGAGTTCACCGAGAGCAGGGCCGGGCAACAAAGAGGTATTGACTGAGGGGGGAAGTACCCTAACGTGTGCTGGCTTCACTACAGAGGCAAACTTATAGGAATATGTTGGTCGATTCTAAACAAGGTTTTCTTTGGTTTTACTTTTCTGAAAAGAAATCTGTAAGAAGTCTTTTGTGTAAGAGAGGAAGTTGATGCAGGGGTCAGTGTGTCACAGCCATGTTGCGGTCTTGTCAGTTTTTAATTGTCGTGGTGGCAGTGGACAACAGCATCGCTTGACTGGTCAGAAATGTATGCTGATTCCTATCAGCGATCATTAGCCTGCCTGTGTGTGATTTATCTGCCAGATCTGTGGAGATTTTTATTGACATCAGTACTGGAGGAAAACAATGAACAGCCATGTTATACTATTAATGTCTCTTATACGCACAGATTTATTCAGACTTTGTGTGGCTGGCAGCTTATGCAGTCCTTCTGTGTTTTTCATAAGGCACTAATGCAGGGGAACACGTGTATTCTCTCTTTCTCCTTCCGCACAAACTCAAACAAGCCCTTTAAGTGTAAAGAATTAAGTATACATTGTCCAACTTTCCTCCTTGCCCTAACTTGTCTCTTTGCTTTGTCGTATCCATTCAGGTAATGACCTCTTCCTGGTGGCAGTCCACGAGCTGGGCCATGCCCTGGGCTTAGAGCACTCCAACAACCCACTGGCCATCATGGCTCCCTTTTACCAATGGATGGAGACTGAGAACTTCCAGTTGCCTGAGGATGACAAGCGAGGCATCCAACAGATCTATGGTAGGGGTTTTTTGGTTAACTCTCCTGGTGTCCAGGATACTTACACTCTGTTAAATCATGAACACATGGGGATTTTTGTTTATTTAAAGTAAATTTAAAAGTTTTTCCCATTTTTCCAACAACAAAATGACCACTCTGTCAAACAAGACCATTTTCTTTTAATTTTTACCCTAACACCTATCACAAAGGGTCAAATTAATTTTTAACATGTCCTATTTCTGGTCATTAGGGATGCACGATGTGGATTTTTTTTCCAGCCGATACCTGATCATTACCTGCTACCCTTTGCTATTCCCAATAACATAACAAATAATTTTGCTTTGTGATTTAAAAATAAGTTTATAACTTGCAGTTGCAGAGTAAGAAAGGCTAAAATGTAGTGAGCAAAGCTGGATGGTTGAAAATTCCATATTATTGATCTCATCAAATCTAACTGACATCACTACTAAAAACAACTGACTCTTCAAATGTTCATTTATTTTTTGTATAAAGTACATCAAACAACTTCATAAACATCCTTTGGCTTTCATAGAACATACAGCCTATCAAATGTGTTACATAAGAATGCAACATAAATTATTATTATCAGCTTTAATTTAATTATCCGAATAATAATATACATTTTCCATTTTCAACTTACTATTTTTATCGTGCCTCCCTGCTTGTCATTTTGCACAACGTGGTGAAATCGGTTTAACCCTCACTGTTTGTTTCTCCTTGAAGGTCAACCAGACAGTGGTCCCACCCAGGCCTTGCCCACTGTGACACCCCGACGCCCGGAGCCCAGGCCACCTCAGACACCTCCTCGGCATCCTGATCGCCCCAGGACCACCGAAAGACCAGATCACTACGGACCCAATATCTGTGAAGGGAACTTTGACACGGTCGCCATGCTCCGAGGAGAGATGTTTGTTTTCAAGGTAAATGGTTTGAGGATCAGAATATAGGGACATTTTTAACTTAAGTCACAGCATGCTACCTTGTCATGAGCATAAAACATTAGACGAGATATGTTTACCTTCACAATGGTTTATTATATGTCCTTGCTTGGAAATTCAGCAGGCTTCCAGCAGAGGAGCTGTCCTGACAAGTTAACTGTGGCAATAAATTAGTTATCCCTTTCTGTAGAATCAGTTTGGGACAAATGGTGTGTGCGCGGCCAACAAGGGGTCTGTTTTCAATCAGCTCCTTGTGGATTGTAAACCAACGGGGCCAGTGTTTTTTATGAGACGGAACACTGTTTAAAGGGTGGGGTGTGGTCAGGTGTTTGCCTTAAAGAGCCTCTGGACCCACACAAAACATTCAATAAGGGCTGAAGCAGCAGTGAGCTATTTTACCATAAGCAGATATGTTGTAGAAAAGTGTCTGCCAGTACTGGTCATTTGGCTGTCAGCTGGGTTTTATTATTTACTTAATTTAAGGTCTTTTAATATTATGCATCTCAGCCCAGCCCTATGGTCATTTGTTATTATACATCTGCTAAGTGTTTTGCCTATCGTGGCGGTAATGGCTCCTTGTCAGCGTCGATGATGAAATAAATTTATGTGGTCATTCTCAAAGTTGGATTAACTGAAATTTCTCCAGACTCCATTTTTCCCTGTGTACTTACTCCTCTTAAGGATTTTGTCCAGTGACACTCTATACATAGTGCAGCTCTACAAAGATAAGTAATGATGTGTTTCAGTGGGAGAGGTCAGAGGAGGTGTCCAGTGTTGGCAGTGCTGTACACTGAAGAGGTTTTCAGATATCAGGCAGCGCTGTACTGTAAAAGAGCCTCAGCTTCGCTTCCAGAAATGCTGTCATGATGTCTGAAATTCTGACATTTAGCAGTGAACCGCAGCAGTAGGCATTCAAACAGCTGAAAATATCCAACACTATCAACCGCATCTTTAACTGGTAAACCTTTTGACATGCCTACGTCAAGAGGATGAAATATAAACCTGCTTGGAGCTGATGGACATGTTTGTGCATGGCTGATTATGACAACTGTTGTAACACATTTACTGGGTGGGCTTGAGTTATTGTTGTAGAGTAGAATATGACAGAGCCCTCTTTCTCCAATCACACAAAGATCCGTCTATGAATATCTCCTATCTTGAACTGTAAGTGTCCCTGACACTGACCAGTAGAGCACTAACTTGGCTTACAGCTGCCTGGACATGTGCTGCACATGGTCACACAGTTATATCTGTGTTCTTGGGTTTCATCCACAGTCATGAAACTAGCCATTAATCAGTGTCCAAAATTAACTTTTACCCTGCCACCCAGTGTTTTTTTAATCTAATATAAATGACCTGTAATTAATATGCGTTCAGTGATGGGTTCAGTTTTATGAATATAATGCGATTACGTACTGTGTGAAAAATTAAAACAACCAAGTGCCAAATAGTAAAATCCATAAATTGTGGCTAAATCAAAAGTTTCTCAGTGTGACCCTATAAACACGGCAGTGTTGGTCTGTCGGTCCACCATTTTGGTCCAGACTGAAATATATCCTAATAGATAAATGGTAAATTAACTGCACCTTTCCAGTCTTCCAACCAGCCAAAGCGCTATATAGTACATGTCACATTCACCCATTCACACACATTCATACACTGATGGCAGGTGCAAGGGTGCAAACTACTCATCAGAAAATAACTAACCATTCACACACACTCACACACTGATGACACAGCATCAGGAGAGATTTGGGTTCAATGTCTTGCCCAAAGACACTTTGAAATGCAGTGAGAGGAGCCGGGGATTGATGGATAGTGTACCAGCTGCTCTGGTGTGATGGTGTGACTGATCTAGGGCCATCATCAGGTCAACATTTCTCTAATATTTTAGTTTATTATCACATACCTGCAAAACTAATGACATTCCCATCAACATCAGCTATGCTTTGTATTTAGGACTAATTAGCAAATGTTAGCACGCTAACACTCTAAACTAAGATAGTGAATATGGTAAACATTCTACTTGCTAAACATCAGCATGTTAGCATTGTCATTGTGAGCATGCAGATGTTTGCATATAGTTCAAAGCACCAGTTTGCCTAAGTACAGCTCACATGGCCACTAGTGTAGACTGCTGGCTGTGTATCAGCACATGTACAGTAGCATTAAACTTTTTTTTAAACAAAGCATAGAGGAGAAGAACAAGACAAAGGCTGGAAATCCTGCATTTCTTGATAGTCCTGTGGACAGAAAGTATGTCAAAAATGACTGACAGGAGACACATCCTTCAGATATTATAGTCTCAGAATATTATCAGCATGCATTGACTGTTATTGATTTGTATGTTATATTGTGATTTAGGACTTGGCTTGGGATTGATTTCCGACCGTGCTGTTCATATTTAGATTGTCCTCATGTCAATTTGGAAGTGACGCCTCCACTCTTCAGAAATTGAAGTTATTATTCCTTTCTGCTATTACTCTGCCTAGGCAAAATTACTTACTTTATGCAGTGTACGAGTGGGAGTAATCTGTAGCAAATCAGTGCCACTCTCTTCTCCATAGAGACTTTTCCATTAACAAAAGAAAGGGGCTGTCATTCTGGAGGGAAATTTCTCCTTTCTTTTTATTCACTAGTAGTTCTTCACAGCAGAGGGCTGGGCATAAAATAAACCAGCAGAGCACACTGAGCTGCTTTCTATATTGAAACTCCCACACTGAGATCTGGCCCGTTCTGCTGAGGACTAATATGGTCAATTCACTCTTAATCTGGTCAACGCAAGGAGCTGTCAGACCACACGAATCGAAGAGCGCGCAGTGTGTTGTTTCTCTCAGCTCGGGCCAGCACATCTCCAGTCTATTTCATTCCATACCGTACCGCGCCGTCCTGTCTGCCAACGTGTCCTGCGCGAAGGACAAAACTAGGCGTGCTTGCCAGAAAGAAGCAGCACTGAGCATTTTACCGTTACATTATCCAGGACAAGCAGGGCTACTGACTCACCACTTATGAATGAGTCTGAGGGCTCCTGGTGTAAATCTCTCTGCTGGCATGTGTGCACAGCATATATACAGTAGATATGAATGTTCACAAGCTATAAGCGTCTGTCTGTGCTTGGATTTAAATGTGCTACTAGTGATTCCCCTTGTTTTGTGCTGCTGACCTGACAATGTAATCCAACAGTTCTTTATAAGAGTTATCTTGTAGCAGGCTGTGATCAGCAGAGAGGCTGTAATAAGGGGACGTGATAAAGCCACCAGAGCGGAGACTGACTATTATTAGCCTGCCGTGTTCCGCTATTGTTAGTTTATTGTACGTTCTGGTCTAGTTATCCTGCAGAGCTCAGTTTGCTTGACCTAATGACCAGGAAGCATTACGACAGTGCTATCTGACCTCAGTGGGACAAATAGTTCAAATCAGTTGACTAATGAGAGTGAATACTTTTCTCACAGTAGCTATCTGTGCATCCCTCCCATCCTGACTTCATATTCTTGTGCACAGGAATGTTTTGAAAAGGCAGAGGCAGGGATATACTTAGAATGAGATATGAAGACATATGTTTTGAACTTATTTGGGCATTGGTTTATTTTGGATTTATTTGTAGGCTGTGAGGCTCAGCCAGGAATTTAGAAAGACAGAGAAAGAGAGAAACTAGTGAGTTTTCAAGCTGTGTTTAACTGACGATAAGAAATGATACACTCAAACACACTTCTTAACTTTGTCTCCTCAGGGCCGTTGGTTTTGGCGGGTGCGTAAGAACAGGGTGCTGGATAACTACCCCATGCCCATCAGTCACTTCTGGAGGGGTCTGCCTGGAGACATAGATGCTGCTTATGAGAGACACGACGGCAGGTTCGTCTTCTTTAAAGGTAAGCAGCAAACACTCACACACACACACACACACACACACACACACACACACAGCACACACTGACGGATGCATGCTGCTCAACACAAAACTCCCAAAATATAACTAAATATGAAGTAAATTGCCATATGCTTAAAGACATGCTTGTGGGTTTGCAACACAAATTAAAACACACCTCACAACTCTTCTCCGGTACAGAAAATGTTTTTGGCTACCAGTCTGATGGAGGCAAGATAGCTGAACATATTCAGTGCATAAAGAATAATGTACTAGAGGAGTGTTGTGCAGTGTCTTTTGATTTACTTTGTATTGAAGCTCAAACTGGTCTGTACCATTCTCAAAGAAACTGTGACTTTTGCAACCCAAAACAAGCTTCGCATTGCCCCAGACGGACCAATTGTGACACCAAAATAAAACAATCCAGGTGACTTGGAAAGAAGTCCATCATCTGAAGCAGCCACCTTGCACCTTGCAGCCTAAAGAGGAAGGTGAAATGGTTTGATAGATTGTGTATCATTTATCACGCATTACAGTAACCTCTATAAACAGATATCTGCATATGAATGCAGAATCTGTAGGCAAGGGACAAGATTTTGGCATTTGAAGCGTATTGGTTTGTGTAGTCCGAGTAGTATTGACCAAGCAGTCTGTTTGGAGAGCTAAAGGAATCTCGCATTCATATGCACATAATATGTGTTTTCTGTTGTGTGCTGAAATGTGTCTTTCTCGTCATTCTTGTGTATCAAGTTGCTTATCGGACTGCAGAGGAAGTCTTGGCCCAGTTATCCGTTTTTCCGGATATTCACTGGCTACACTGGAAGCCCTGAAACATTGCCCGTTGCCCCCAGAGGATAAATTCTTGTCAGACAATAGCCGATTCTGAGATTTGTCATTAATGTAAAGAACAAGAGCAGAGAATTAAGGAGCCCTAAGTGGTCAGTACCGGTATTTGTTATCTTTCATCCTCTAGGTTAGGAAAGTATTGACTCACATTTAACTTAAACAGAAACCTGCATTTATCATGTTTTTGGATGATATAAAACACATATAAACCAAAATAACTACATTTCTTATGCAATTGTATTAAATACTTCTAAATTATATAAGTTATAATTAAATTATTTCATGACAGTTTGGCTTGTAAGGGTGAATAGGAGAAGGTTTCATATAAGTGGTCGCTCCTTTTGGAAGATCATCAAACCGCGTGATGTACACACACTTCTTTATCCACGCCCCTTTTCTCCTGTGAGCAAACAGCAATCTCTCCACTCTGTCTCCTTTAGGGAATGAACACACCATCTACGTTTCTGGTTATTGTTGCTGTAAAAACTGGCCTGAATAATCTTGTCCTGTCACTTAGAGCATGACAGTAGCAACAACAGCCTTTGAGAATATGCTTAGTTTTGAAATGCCATACAGCATGCAGGAAAGTAACACGCAAACTTCGTGTCACAGCACTGACAAACATCACCAGTGTTTGGATTCAATTTCCGGTGAGGCAGGCCTGTTTACTCTGCCAGGCCAAAATACAATCATAGCTGGATTCACTGGATCCTGTGGTATAGCACAAGATCCAGGTTTTATAATAAGGCACTCTGTCTTACATATGCAGCAGCTCTTTAAGGTAAATATATTATTTTGTTTTCGTCTTTAAAGATAAGATATTACAATTTTTATGAGCACATGGAACATAAGTATGCTCTCCTACATACAAAAACCATCCACCATCTGGTTTCTTCTTTACAACCAATCCATGTCTTAATGCTTTCATATTTTAACAGTAAAACAGATTCTGGGACTTTCTTCATCTTCTTTAGATAATGTCGAAGATATACTTTACACACGCCCAACTCCTTCAGAAAGCAGCGCTACATAATGTATTCTACATGCAGGGTATAAATCTCTTTTAGCGCAGGTCATTATTTATACTGTGAGTCACTGAGAGCAGCTTGTCTTTTATAACGGTGGATAAAGTTGTTGAATGAAAAAGAAAGAGCTCAGGCTTCAGTGCAGCCTGACTCTGGGAGCTACAGGCTTTGGGGCAGCTGTTGATGATGAGGAGGGTGATGTCATCGGCAAGCCTCTCAGTGTGACACTTGGCCGCGAGCCATTAGCTAAGAAAGAACAAGAGAAAGGAAGAGGAAGGAGAGAAAAAAGGGAAGGAAGGAAGGACTGGCAGACCTGAGAGCACAAGAGAAGGAGAGACAAACACAGCATGGGGATGCGTGGGGTATCAGATTGACCAATCAGATTTCTGTCAGCACGAAGGCAGCAGTCCCTTCACAATCTGCGATTGTGTAGTGTACACTTCACATTGAATCAGCAGTAATAGCAGCAGACAACGAGACCCACAACTATCTACGTTACCCTATGGGAGCAGTTATTATGGTCACTCCCTGCTGTGCTGAGCTTAGCATTTCTTTGTGTTGAGTGACAGGGCCAAACAGAATTATCTCAGCAAGCGTCAATAAAAATGAATAATTATATATAAATGAAAACACAGGCAGCGTAGTGTATGGTACAAGACTTAATTTTGCTGTAAATGTACAGTACATAACAGGGAGGATAACAGGCATTTTGGACATATTGGACTAATATCAAATACTTGAAATACTTGAATGGTTTAATCCAGACCTAGAAAGTACAGGAACATCAAAGACTTTAACAAATTCTTAGTAGAGTAACATGCATAATTGTATTCATCCATTTCTCTTACACAGCTGTTGTATTACCCAGAGGTTTCACAGCTGTTTTTATCCAAACAAGTCCAACTGTAATAGAAACCACACCGTTTATCCCTTAAGAAAAACAGCAGTTACACAGCAGGAAGAAATCAAATCTTTAGGTCACTGAAGCGCTCTGGTGTAGTTATGGAAAGTCATGGAATAAGTCATGGGATTTTACATCAGGGCTGTGCACCGCAGGAACCCTGGGAAGCATTGCGTCAACCACTTGTTCTCTCCAGATGCTGAGTGTAGAGCTTTCATTTTAAACGAGGAGCAAGGGGCCGGAGGTGGATGGATGGGTGGGTGTGGGTGAAAGAGGGAGGGAAAAGCGGATTGAAGCCAAGAGGAGAGATGTAATGGTGCCAGGAGGAACGGAGTCCCCCTGCCTGACACAGTGAAAACAATAAAACCTTCCCTTCAGCGAGAAATCTGCTATAGCCTGACATGAGACAAGCCGCTCCTAATGGATAATTACGAGCAAAACCCAAATTCCTTAGTCAATGATGTCGCACTCGCTTCTGCTGTGTTTTGATTGCTTGCCAACAAATTATTATTGCGTTCACATAATTCACAAGTGCATGTAAATGCTGGTTTGGTTTCTCGGATTGTTCTCTTTTTATACCTCATTCAGTTTCACTTATTTGACATATTCTGTGCCAGCAAATTAAATGTGTGTGCACAAGCAGAGTGTCTATGCGTACATCTGTTCTTGTGGACGTGTATAAGTGCACGAGACATACAGTATGATTGGGTCTGTGTTGTTAACATTTTAATTAAGTCCATGAGGGTTTTGAGTGAGAGTGGATAGGGAATGTACGCACCATAAAGGGTCATTAAGCAGTTTTTTTCTCCTCTCCTCTCCTCAGGAAACAGATTCTGGCTTTTCAGGGAGGCTAACCTGGAGCAGGGCTATCCATTGGAGCTGGTTGATTACGGTCGAGATATTCCCTACGACAGAATAGACACAGCCATCTGGTGGGAGCCATCCGGCTACACTTACATCTTTCAAGGAGACTGGTAAAGTAGCTTGCAACCGTTCAGCATCACATAAAACCCCTCTAATTACCAAGTATACTAGTATATCATACAGTCCCTCAGGAAGTTGCAATGTTGCGATCGCAACAGTTCACACAAATTCTACCAGTCATATATATGAGCCTGTTAAAGTTAGCATGTAACTCGAAGCACCACTGTGCCTAAGTACAGCCTCACAAATCAGCTAGTGAGGCTTAGTCTTGGTATAGCACGTATGGTTTATGGAATGGTAACCACAGGTACAGCAGTAGACACAGTTTTTTTTAAGTTATTTTTTTGGCCTTTTATTGCCTTTATTTGATAGTTATAGCAGAAGACAGACAGGAAAGGGGGTAGAGGGAGAGGATGACACGCAGCAAAGGGCCGCAGGTCGGATTCGAACCCTGGGCCGCTGCAGCAAGGACTCAGCCTCGGTACATGGGGCATCAGCTCTACCCACTGAGCTACACAGTTTGGTGTCTATCTTTCCTCAACCCTGCATAGACAAACACAGCTAAGTCTACTACAGTAGTAACAAATTGGATTGATTTTGTAATTGATTTCTGATTTTAGCTTCAAAGAGAGGCAGAAAATAAGTGGACATACTGAAATCAATACAGTATGAAGGTTTTATGTCTGTCCACTTGGAGTTTTTTTTTGCTTTTATTTCCATGTGTATGGATTGAGATCACATGAATAATTCCAGTATAGCCCTGTAAGTTTTAAGTTATGCAAGAATATAGCAGCAGCTGTATTTGTACAGCTCTTTGTTAACAAAGTTAGAAAGTTCTGCGAACAATACAAACATACTGAACACTCTTCGCACTGCAGTAGAACCAAAATAACACAAGCTTATGCAAGAGTAACACATTTATGAAAATACTCATAGAAAAATAATTTCACTGTAGGTCTGAAAATGTAATAAGCCCTCACCAAGCACAGTATGACGGACTCGCCTCAGGTTTTCTAGTGATTTGACGCTCAGAACAGATGTGAATGTTCTGTGGAAACGCTATTGTTTTATACACACCATGCAGGTCCACCATGTTCTGTCCTGTGTAAGAAGTCTGCTCTTTTCTTGTTTAGACAGCTGATAAACAGTAACAACCATCTTCTCCGTGGCTGTCCGCAGGTACTGGCGCTTCAACGAGCAGTCGCGCTTGGCTGACAGAGGCTACCCCAAACCAATCAGCATCTGGGGATCGTCAGTGCCTTCGACTCCCAAGGGGGCCTTCCTCAGCGATGATGGGGGTGAGCTGTGCGTGTGTGTTTGTGTGGGTGAAAGAGCGCAAGGAGGGGCTGGGACAGACACGCCTGGAACAAAGAATCAGGGTGTGGCCATGCAATCATCAGGAGAGAGGGGGGATGGCGTATGTTGTCTGTTGGAAAGTGAATTTGAGCCTACATGTGAGGGGCTTTTTGCTTTGCTGGGCTCAGTTAGAGTGAAAATAGATAGGAGTGATAGGGAGTAGACATTTTTCCATTTATACAACACATTATTTTAGATCAATAAACAATTTTGAATAAAATGTTGAAAGTAATAGTTTGACATTTTGGTAAATACGCTTATTCGCTTTTTTGCACAGGGTTTGTTGAGAATATTGATAGCTGTCTCTCTGTCTCTCATCTTTATGCTGAGCTAAGCTAACCAGCAGCTGGCTCTCAATCTCCTCATCTACCTCTTGGCAACACGGCATAGAAGCGTATTTCCCAAAATGTCAAACTATTCCTTTAAATTGTTATGTCGACTAACATCTTCCGCTCTCCTTTCCTTCTCCAGCTTACACCTTCTTCTACAAGGGCTCCAAGTACTGGAAGTTTGACAACCACCGCATGAAGAGTGAACCCGGCTACCCTAAGTCCATTCTGAGGGACTTCATGGGCTGCAGCGTGGACCTGGACCCAGACAGAGACACGGACACAGACTCGGGACGCAAATTCCCTGACGTGAACCGCCCACCGTTCAACCCGGACGTGGGCCGTGACGGCGACAAGGGCAAAGACCGGGATGGAACGGATCGCGGCGGGACGGACAAAGACGCGGGCAAAGGGACGGACAACGACAAAGACAAAGACGAAGACTACCGCGAGGGCCGCGAGGAAGACACTAACGAGGTGGATGTGGTGCTGAAGGTGGACGACAGCGAGGAACGGACCATGAACATCCTGATGGTGACCATCCCACTGGTCCTGGTGCTGTGCATCCTGGGATTGATCTACGCCATCATCAACACGCTGCAGAGCAAAGGGGCGCCGCGGCTGCTGGTGCACTGCAAGCGCTCGCTGCAGGACTGGGTCTGACCTTTGACATTAGGGGACACTGAACTTTGAACTTAAATTGGACCTTAGACCCCGCCCTCCTCTAATCCAGCCCTCTTCCCAGTGATCCATCCGTCTCAAGTCTCTGTGCTCAGTGGCTCTTGCAAGTCGTAGTACATGTGGTAGTAGATCCAATACTGTACTGATACATACACACACACACACTAGCAGCAAGCATAAATTATGTCTTACATATACACCCCCACCCCCCAACACACACCACCCTAACCTCCTCCTGTCTCCCATGGTGCTCTACAATGCGTTGACTGTAGTCTATTTATATGAGAGAAGTTTGCACATTGTTTTTTTCCTTCTTGTTTTTGTTTCGGTTCATTTTGAGTGACTTTTTGATGTTTGTTTTTTTCTAAACCAGGAAGGCCCCTTCATTCTCTCTCCCGCCTCTGCACCGCCCTCCTCCTTCCCCTAATGTCAGTCAGGGCTTTTTTCCCTCGCTGATAACTTGACATCTGCTTATGCTATCACAGTTGCCGTTAAAAAAAAGAAATGCATAGGGTTACAAAAGATTTGTAGACGGACCACTATGCTTCAAGTAGGGTTCAGTAGTGTTCCCTCCTCCTCGCGTCGTCTTGCTCCATCTCTTCTCCTTTCTCTACAGTGCAATATGTCATGGGGTGTGAGGTGAGTTAGAGAGAAACAGGGTTTGGTCCAAACAGACATTTCACTGTAGTTTACATTAAGAGGTATTTTGTGGGCCTTCAGCCCAGATATCATCCTCCCTTTGACTGCTCCTCGTTGTGATTAGGCTGCGGTTATAACTCTGAAGGAGTTCAGTTTGTTAGTTATACAGGCACTGTGTTGGTTTTAAAGGATAATTCCACTTTATTACAACTTAGATCTTATTTTTAATGGTCATTTTAATAGTAGTAATAATATTGTACTCATCAAATTAATTGCTGAGGTCTGGTAATGTGGTGATGTTGCTAAAAATATGTGAATCATACAGGCTTAAAACAAAGCACCAGGTTGGCCAAACGTCTTTGGAAAAAATGAAAACAGACAGTAGGCACACTGTCTGTTGTAAACCAGTTTACAGACCAGCTTGCTGGTTCTACTTTGGCCCACCGTATACTACTTGTGAGTGATTACTTACATTCTGGGTGTGCTCACGTTTGGTTTACCCCTAGATAAGATAATCTGTCTAACATGGCCGTCTGTTTAAAGGAATGGTTTGACATTTTGATAAATACACTTTTGTGGACAGTTAAGATGACAAGATCTCATGTGTATATGCTAAATATGAAGCTACAGCCAGCAGGCAACTAGTATTTTATTATTTATTTTTATTTTAGCATAAAGACTGGAAGAAGGGGCCCTATCAGCACCTCTAAACTTTATTGACATGTTACACCTTCTTTGTGTAAGCTGTGTAAAATTAGTACAAATTCAGGTGGAAATGGGCTTTGGACAGGGTAGCTCTTCCCCCTACTTCAAGCCTTGAAGCTAACAGGCCGCTGTGTCTAGCTTCATATTGTACAGACATGAGAGCAGTATCTTCACAAAATGTTGAATTATTCCTTTAAAACGTGGTGGGGTGTCTAACTGAACGTGTTTTTTGCCATGTCTGGCTTTGTTGTCACCATTTTGCCATCTTCCCCGATATTAACAATCAGTTTTAATGAGTACAGTGTTATCCAACAGATAGGTATGAAAATAAGACACAAGTTGTAATAAATAGTAATTCATCCTTTTAATTTCACATTAAATTCAGACTACTACTGCCCTGTTTTCCTTCTGTATCTTGTGCTCACAGAGTTGGGCCTACCTTCTTTCTTTTCCTTATTTGGAAACCATTTAAAGAGCTCTTTGGCTGAAAGGCTAAACAGACTTTAAAGGGGACCTCTTCCCTTAACTTTCATTTATGTGGCTAATTCTCAGAGAGCCTCCCTTCTGTCAACAATAAGACCTTTTCTTTGTGCTACAGAGGAGACAGACTAATGGTTAATTTAAAAAGTCAGCTCACTGTGAAATAACACCAGAGAGGGAGCATTTAATGCATCTGTGTGTGTGTGTGTGTGTGTGTGTGTGTGTGTGTGTGTGTGTGTGCGTGTGTGTGACATAAAACAAGGTAGAAACAAAGCAAAGGCACGGCCTTTAACTTCAGAACAGGATGTAACACCACAAATGCAACACAGCACTGGCACGGTGTAGCTAATGTACCATGCAGCTTATAATGGACTTTTTACTGCAAGGGTTTTGTGGAAGGACGCTTTTAGAAACTTCATTGATGACCCGGGGTCTATCAGTCAAATCTGTAAATATAGTGTAGCTGTAAGCACCAGGGTGGGCTCGGGCCGTGCGGGCTCATGTGAACACAGACTAATCCTCTTCATTAAAAAACAGCAGGTGTGTGCAAATGCTGTTAGCCCCTGCGACCCCTAAATTAAACCCTGAACTCTCAGAAGCAAAAACACTCTCCACTCCCTTTTCATCTTGTAAGAACAAAGGTTGGTTGAAGGGGCTGTGGGCACAGAAAAATGACCGTCTTAACTACTTATTATAACAATATTAAAGAACCATACAAGGGGTTTTGTACATTTTACCTATTTAAGTAAAAATCAGAGGCAACCATTTTTAAATTATGCATACAAACGTAATAAAGTTACGTTTGTATGTATTTTCCCTACTGTTCCTGACTGCCATTGGTATCCATTTCATTTTATAGAGAGAATGAAAATAATCTGGCAGACAATTGGAATGCAAATGAATGCAACTTTGGCCAAACTTAAAGGTGATGTAAGTGAAATAAGCATTTTGGCTAACTTCCCTACTTCTTGCAGTTAAACAGTTCCCTTCCTCCTCCCCACTTTACCACACTGAAATTCTGCTGCCTGTCTTTTAGGACCGCCTCTTTGTAGAGCTCTGTCTCCTGATTGGATAAAGCGGGAACGGGATACTAGAAGATGTATTCTCTGTTTACTGCAGTATGGAAGGACTGGGAGGCAAATGTTACTGACTGAACACTATATTAGTGATGGCTGCTGGAATGTAGAGCTATTTAACAAAGAAAATATCGCTCACAGTACAACATGATTACGCAACTCAAGCAAGTTTGTTTAAATCTGCTTACAGATTTTTGTATTGTTTATAAATTAATGTAAATTAATGGAAACAAATAGCTGCCATGGAAACATAAATTGACAAAAACAAAAAAAAATAGTGTGATTTGCAAAACGTTGTACTACGTTATAGTATAGGGGGCTAAAATGTGCAAAACCGGTGGTATCCTTTAAAATCATATTTCTTTCTTAAAAGAAGAGAAACACTATTCATCTAAGTCATAGATCATTTCAAGGTGACATTACCTTTAAGCCTGTAAAATTAGAAGCCGTGTTTCAAGATGTTCAACAAGTGTAGCAGTAATGGAAAATAATAAAAATACAAGAGTCTACAAACCAGGGCTAAAATGGGAGCGAGTGTAGGAGTGGACAACTTTCAAGTGCGACTTCAAATATGAATAGGAGGAAGGCCTATCTGAGGTCGCATTTAAGAAGTAAGCTGCCAATCTGACCAGAGGGGGCTCAGTTCACCTGGCTCGGGTTACACAGATGTGGACGGGGAGGGTGAAGAGAGACTGAATTTCCTGCAGCTGAGACAAGGAAAGGGGGGAAGGGGGAGGGAGGCTGACCTCGTCTCCCTGAGCTTGCAAAGTTTAGATCTCAGGAATAAGGAGGGGTGGGAAGACTGAGGGGGGGGGACTGTGATGGCTCTGTTCCACTGGCAGCAGCTCATGTGACCTATATTCTCCTGCTAGCTCAACAACATTGTTAGCCAAAGAGGAAACCTTAGCTTACAGTAAGTGACAGTCCCTTTTTAGGACTGTAAGTGCTTTGCTGGTAGTTGTGTATGTACCAGAGGTGGGACCAAGTCAAGTCTTTGCCCTCAAGTCCTAAGTCAAGACTGACGGGTCCCAAGTCAAGTCCAAAGTCCTAAACTTTGAGTTTCGAGTTCTAAACAAGTCATAACGCGCTCTTCACCAAATGGAATGCCATTTTACAACAGAATGAACAAAACAAAATCATCTTTGGTATCATCTTTTTCCGATTGTCTCTCAGTAACGTCTTCATCGTTCCCTCTTGATTGGATGCTGTTGGATTGGTTCAAACAAAGTGGATCTGGGGAGTTACGTGTCGACTCGCTTCCTTACCTTGACGAAATGAACAGAAATTCACTGATTCCTGACACACTTTAAATAACATACAAGTGCAGGTGAAGTCACAAGTCACTGTTGTCCAAGTCTTTTTTGATTTGAAGTTGAGTCTAAAGTGTTCAAACTCATTACTTGAGTCTGACTCGAGTCTACACCTCTGGTATTTACCTCATGACTTGTTTTAAAGCCCTGCATATTAATTCTAGTTGTGCCTCACAAGTGGTAGCAGTATTGGTACATCCGTCTCTTGTGGCAGTCAGACGGTATGTTGACAGACAGCGCAGATACACAACCCTACTGCTGTTAGGCCTCCAGCGCGAGAGGTGAAGACAGGTTGAGGTGAGACACCTACCCAGACAGAGTCAACAGGACACCTGTACTGAAAGGAAGAAAAGGAAGAGCATTATCAGCCGTCACCAGAAGTCTGGAGATTGATCTGTGGCCAGTCGATAGAGGTTGCCGGGAAACGGTGTCCTGTGTCCATCGCTCACCTCCTCATCATCAGGGTTGGCGGTGGGGGAGGTGGGGGGAGGTTGGCGGACACAGCTAATCAGCGTTAAAAGCAACCCCAACCCCCTCTCCTCTCCTGTCCTGCTCTTCCATCGCTTCCTACCGGCACATCAACGGGTACTTAGACAGCGTAGCGTCTGGACATGCTCAGAAAATGCAGACTCATTGCTCTAGACACAACGTTGTGCACAGAGTTCTTCCTTATCAACACTTCTCTTCTCCTCTGCAACCCCCACACAGAGAGCCCGGAGGGAGTTAACCACTTCAAAGCTCAAATAACCACTTCAAAGTAAAAAAAAGTGGAGCGTACCTGAGTTTGCTTTACTTGAAATCACAGTTTGGGTGATTCAGCAGTTTGGGAGATTCTCTGTGAGGTGACACTGAAGGGAGATTGAATTTAGTGCAGTTCATTGTCTCTGGGCACAAAGCAGAGGAGAAGGAGTGAAAGGTTAGAAAAGAAATCTGTCGACGCTGATTGATGCATGTGTGTGTGTGTGTGTGTGTGTGTGTGTGTGTGTGTGTGTGTGTGTCGAGGTGTTCAGTTAATCAGCTCCACTCTCCATAAGCAAGGCCTGTTTTCTGACTGTAAATCTCCCACATTCCCTCCATGCCCTCCCCTCCGCATACTCAGCCCAGCCCTCGAAGCCCGAGGGGATCATAATAACAACAATGGCCTTCTCTCTCTCTCTCACACACTCTCTTTCTCCTCCCCCCCCTCTATTTTCTCTCTCCCTAATACGCACACACACAAACACATTATTGTCTTCCCTAACCTCACCTTCCTCCTCCCCCTCTTAGGAAACTAGTCCAGGCCAAGGTCCACAGCAGAGCCTGTTTTTAGATCCACCTCCTTGTTCAGCAACATTTAACACTGTTGGAAGGATTCACAAAAAAAACACTTCACCTGTCAGGCTTTGAGTTGGGTGAATGCAGACTTGGCAGCAGGATGTCACATTCAGATTTAAAGATGCAAAGGCAGAGGTTCTTTTATGTTAATGCCTTGTTCGTTCTGAAGTGCAGGGCCTTGATGCAAAGTTTCGGTAAGGTTAGGACATCGCTGAGCTTGTCTGAGCTTTCATCTCTCTCAGGATGTGTTTCTGTAAACACTGCATGTTAAGCGTTCCTTGCTCAGCCCTGCTGTTTTGGCTCTGAGCGTGGGCTTTGTACCGTTCTTTTTTGTCTTTTATTTTAATGAACATCTCCACAATCATTCATGAGGCAGGTATTTTTCTAGCTGTGTGTGTGTGTCCTCCACTCTGTGCACTTTTTGTGTTCCAGCTTTCTCCCTGTGCATCCCTGCACTTCTTAAAAAGCCAGAAGCTTCAAGAAGTCATTGCATCAGCCGCGTGCAAAGTCCGAACTCTACCGGGAAGAACCGGATCAATAAATAACGGGCTGAAACGATCAAAGAAAAGGAAAAGAAAGGATCTGTCCGACGTGACGTACAGTGAGACTGTTCTGTGACAGTTTGACGTGGGTCAACTTTGTGGCTCGATTGCAGATGATTGCGGGTTGTCCAGTTTTCTCTTTTTCCCCCAGAGTGCATCTCACCTTGCTCACTGAGCCCATCCACTCTGAAACACACTTCAAATCACCACTTGACTAACTCAACTACTCAGCGCGAGGATGAAGCAGAAAAGATGGCTGACAGCAAATGACTTTCAGCATTTGTGTCGCAGCCTCGGCAGAGTGCGGCGGATCGGCTCTCACTGTGCTTCAGACGGGCATCGAAACTGTTGAGCAGCCCGCTTAAGAAAACTGTTTTCATCCGCTAACTGCAGCTACAGTAGAGGGTAGATTTTGTTGGATTCAGTCAATCCTATACTGACCATCAATAGTGGAACTTGGCATCTCACACTTGAACTTCTCTCTTCGTTACTACCTGAGTAATGGTTCATAATTTGTCTTATTTTGTGCATTTTTTTCTCTCTCCAAACTTGATATGACATTTTTTGTTAATAACATTCCAATTAGTTTTGTTTGATTGGTTGTTAGTGTTTTGTTTTTGTTTTTCTGTAGAAAATGTAAGATTTTATACATTTGTGTTGTTGTGTGTTCACCTCTAGTTGAGTGTGTTAACAAGCCATGCTGGACATGTACACATTAAAAATTGCTCTGAAAATATTTAAAGTTGTGTTTCTTTATGCAGCAACCGGTGAAGTACAATGCTCTCTGAACTGTCAGTTATGCAAGCCATATACACACAGAGTGCACACACCCTCTACTCTCTTCCTGCAGTGAGGTCACTGTCCATAGGGCCTTGCTTCCTGTCTCACACGGGACAGGCAGCAGAGTGGCTTTATGGGCTATGGGAGGTGGGGAGAGAGGGGTCTGGCTGATTGCCAGGAAGCCACATGAGCAGGGAGGAAGTTAGCAAGCAGCTTGTAGAGCCTGTAAGAAACTGACCACGCAATGGTGTCATCACACTGAGAGGAAATTCATTGTTCACAGCAAGACAATGCTTTTTTTTGTGATGGATTTCATCCAAACACCAAAATTACAGAACAGAGATCGATGGCAGACTTTAATGAGATGTTTTTGTGACTTGGAGTAAGTTGTTTCCAAGACTGAAAATAAAGTGACACCTACTCACATCCTGTCGCAGGCGTAATTGGGCAAAATTGACACCAAATGTCTTCATCTGAGTCCTCGTGATCAATTGATGGAGGAGCCTAGCTGAGGGCTTCTAACTTTAAATAGAAAAACAATGTATTTAAGGCTGGGATGAGAAAAAGAAAAGAAGACATGCTAGAGACATGTCCTGAGGGTGTCTGTTAAGGCTTTCCACGGGTTAAAGTAAAACATAAGAGAGATGACGTTTGGTGAGCTTGACCAGAGTTCCACGCTGAAGTAGGGCAAGCAGAAAGAGCTGGGCTGGTGACTGGAAGGCAGACTGACGAGCTGCAAGAGGAGGCAGGCAGACAAAGAATCACAGGAAGGTAATGAACCTGGTGAACACACGGAGCTGACGCCGAAATTCCACTGGGCACCGCACTATGACATTGCGTCGTAATGGCTCCATCATTCGGGTGACTTCAAATCCCATCAAGAGCGTTTCAGAAGCGGAGCATCTCGTCTGCCTGACATTGTTGACGTGTATTCTGTCCTTAAAAAGGATAAGTATAGAAACACTTACAAGATGAGCTTCTCATTGTCCTTGGTGTCAAATCTCCTCAGACTGATTGACTTCTGGCCTGATGCCACAATGTTGATGTAGCATGACATTCGATACATGGTATTTTATTTTGGACATTGATCTGAGGATGCACTTTGGCTGCTAAATGCTCCGGTATATTCACCAGCTACCTGATAGACTAACTGTGCTAACTGGTTTCAGCTCGGTGTGTGTAATGCTCTGTTGAGGTGACGGGAACTGCTCAGTTGATATCTGTGGGGGTGTTACTATGAGACAATCTTTTCACATTATGCATTGTTATTTTTAGCATGTAACAGCTTAAAAAAACATTTCCTGTCCTCTACTGAGTTTAGTCTATTTGAGAAATGTACTATTTGTACTGTAACTTGTAGCCTTTAGCTGGTCCCATGTCAGATTGTCAGGCCTGTTATAATACTGGAAGAGGATAGATTCACAACCAGTGTACAAACTTTCCTCCATAGTGACCTAGTTTGAGATGCACTGTCAACCATTAAGTGTTTTTTTTCTAAGATGGACATACCTATGTGCACTTTGTAAACAAACAAGTTCATTGGTGCATGTGGTGTGTGCACACAGTATTTGGGCATGTCCGCCTGGTTTGCACTGTGTTTACGTGCTTTTAATTCTTTCCTGCTGTGTATGTGTGTGTATGTGAAGTCTGAGTCTGGCCAGGATTGTTGCTTGTTAAACCTATCTGCTACAGTTATCACTAGGTACACCCTGTGGAGTACCGTAATTACTTGCAGTCATCTCTGTTTTCTGGGTAGAAAATTAACTCGCCCACAACGAGTGTGTGCACACAGAGGAAGTTAATGGCTAGCAGCTACAGCTAATGACTTAGCTGCAAATGAGATCTGCAAGTGGTAAAGTTGAACCACCTGTTTAAGAATACGTTTACAGTAATACACCTGTTAGGCATCCTCAGTCCCGTATAAAAATAGAGTAAATGACTGGTACAGATTTTGAATTTAGTTTATCACTGGAACTTTCTACAAAAGAAATAGTCCCTATGAAGACAACCAGTCATGTAGATTACCCCCCCCCAGAAAAAGCACACATGAGATTGCTATTGAATTTCTACCCTAGAAGTGGGGCTCTACAGATGTCAGTGTCAGCCCAATACTTCAGTTTATGGCTAAATTCCTGCAAAACAACAGTGTATATATACCCCACAGCTATATCTCATTGTCGTGTGTTTGCGTTACGTTGCTGCAGTTAACATCAGCTACATCAATATTTTGTGTCTAGTGGTAATGAGCATATGTGAGCATGCTAACATGCTGAACTATGGTGAATATAGTAAACATCAGCAGGTTAGCATTGACATTGTGAGCATGTCAGCATACTGACATTAGCATTTAGCTCAAAGCACCACTGTGCCTGTGTCTCTCCTCAGAGTAGAGTACGGAGCTGTTTTCTTAATCCTGTTCCCGCCAGATCCTGCTGGATTTCTGACCTTTAGGTCCACCCACTGCACCCGCCAATATTCTGACCATTTGCGCCTGCACAATAGAGATTTTGTGTCTTCCTCTGTCCCACAGGTGAAAAGATGTTATTTCACTATGTCAGTAACAACTGAGAAGTTTCTCCAACTGTCAGACTTGCCTTCCTTTGCTTTCCCGCTTTAATCTTCCTCCCCAGTTCATTTGTTGACTCCGTCTCCATCCTGGTGGGCAAGAGCTAAATCCCAGAACCTGCAGTTTATCTTTTGACCCCCCGCTCCCGCCCGAAGCAAGGTCAGAACTGCCTGCTCTCCATCCTGTGAGATCCCACTCCTAATGTGGTCCTCTAAGTCAGATCCACTGAATCTTGGTCTTGTTCAAATATTTTGAGACTCACAGATGAAATTCCTTTCACCTCCACTGTGTTTGGGGGTTTCAGACATTTCACAGGTGGAAATGCCAAAACAGATGAAACTTTAATTAGCAGTCATGGTTATTGGAGACTTTAAATCTTTGGCCATGGTCTCACTTTTGACACATTTTTAAAAATTAATGTTGAAAAGTAAAAAGTCCAAATGTAATTACATACAGCATGCATCCTAAAGCAATTTGGGGAAATGTAAAATAGATGTAGACGGGAGTAAATGTGCTATAAATCCAAAGGAGTCCAATGTTCTTTTATTTAACTTTTCTGTAGGTGTAACATAACTTATTTAGATTAGCTGATGAGATTAGATGAAACTTTAATGAGTGCTGGGGGTGAGGCAGCAGATAATGGGATGCAGCAAAGAAAAATAAGAATAAAGCAGATGAGCGTCCATCAACTCAACAGAACCATTTGAGCATGCTACAACAGCTAAATAGAAAAAAAAGCATGAAGGATGTACAGAATTTCAACATGTAACCATGAGACAAAGAATAGAAACAACACAAATATAGGCTAGAACATGACATCATTTGAAACTAAATTAGAATAAAAGAAATGTAGTGAATGTGATAGATATATGAGAACCAAAAAGTGTGGTATCCCTATTGCCATGTGCTGACGGTTCTTGGACAAGTACTGTATCCGACAGTCAACATGCGTGTATGTGATGTGGTATAAATTCCTCACCATAAAAACATAATCTCTATTTCTCCTTGTCTCTTCCCCCGTCCCTCCTTCCCTTTTATTGTTTCACAGTGAGGTAATGTTGAGGTAACATCTGGAGCTGTAATAGAGCTCGCTCCAGAGTGTTTTGGTGCTAACTTTGGCACACATCACCACAGCAGAGGGTGTGGATATGCTGCTGGCAGGGCAGCACAGGTTTACTCATGTGATTGCCAGTGGTCTGGTCAGTGCCACGATACTCCTGATGCTTGTAAAAATGCTGGTGGGTCCGATGTGTAGGTCATAGCTACAACAGTGACACTTGTTACACCTGGCTCGTTCAATCCATAACAAAGCAGGGTGGTCCATACAGTAACAATTCAACCCTCTGGGGTCAGCGAATGCACCGGGGTGTTTTCGCAATGTGTCTATTAAGATCTCTGCGATGATACAGTACAGAAATATGGTTTGGATACTGTCCGAATGTGTACACTCTCCGCTTCAAAGTCTTTGATAAACCCATTGCAAGCACCAAAACAATTGGTCCACGTGATTAAAGGTGTGTATTCACAAGAGATTTGAAATTGACGTTTTTTCATTTTCCTGCTTTAGGTTCAAATTAGGTCTTTACACAGTGCACTAGGACAAACAGTGCCATGTTATACCGAAAGCTACGGCCACATAGGAGCACATTTTGATATAAAACACATGGATATATCATGTTATGAAAGTCGAATTTAAGATATGTAAAAATTGAGGAGAAAAAAACATTAGAGCCCAAAGGATTAAACACAAATGTTTAATTACTTACTAATTGTGAAGAACATTTCTAGGATGATAAAGCAGCACGAGAATCTCTCTAGAAATGTATTTTAGTTACTCCCCTCAAGAGAGCCCTGTTCGCAGTTTTATACCCAGCACCACCAATAATTATGCTTCCATGTTGGATCACTAATGTGTTAGGGCAATCACACAGTCCTGGATTATTAAACATCATGTTCATTTGGGGCATCCTGATAGCTCGCCTGGTGCCCCGTGTACCAGGGCTGAGTCCTTGCTACAGCGACTATGGGCTCAACTCCTGTGGCTGTGTGCCATCCCCTCTCTCTCTCTCTCTTCACCCTTTTCCTGTCACTCTTATGCTGTCACTACCGATTCAAGGCAATAAAAAATGATTTTCTTTTTTAGATTTTAAAACCATCACATTTCTATGTCATTGAGTGTGCTCAGCTGGACTCCCGTATGGAACCACAAACAACACCTGGATGCACTTACAAATTCCATCTGCACACACAGAAATGCAAAGAATGCACAAACTGACATATAAAGATGCAGGTGCATGAGTACCTTAGAAATACACAGGTGGGTGTCGACAGAGCGCATTATGTGGTAAATGATAGCAGATCCTTAGGGCTCATCTGTTTACTGTGGTTAT